CCTCATTGACTGCTTCCACTGCCAACTCTGCTCGGTCATCGTGAACTGAGCAGCACAGCTTCTGCCGCCAACTCTGCTCTCCCGCTCTTGCCGCGCTACCGAGCTTCTCCATGTTGTCTGTCCTGGGCTCCCGCCGCCGTGAAAGCCACAGAAGACAACCATTTCCTGCCTTTTTTCGGCTATCGTGAACTGAACAGCACCTCTTCTGCTGCCACTCTGCTCTTCTACGTTTCGCGTCCATTTTCCAGGATTACCCATGCAGGCGCCATAGCGTGGCAAGCATGGAGCCCGCTCAGATCTCTACTGCAGTTTTGACCATTGTAAATACCTCGCGCATTATCCAGCAGTGTGTGCAGTACCTGCAAAACCGGGCGAGGAAGCGACGACAGCGCGATTACTATACTGATGAGGACATGGACATTCCTAGAAGCACGGCATGTGGCGATTGGGAGATCATGGTGGCGTTGGGCCAGGTTCATGCCGTGGAACGCCGATTCTGGGCCTGGGAAACAAGCACAGACTGGTGGGACAGCATAGTGTTGCAGGTATGGGATGATCCCAGTGGCTGCGAAACTCTTGTATGCGTAGGGCCACTTTCATGGAACTTTGACTTGCTGTCCCCTGGCCTGAAGCGCAAAGACACCAAAATGAGAGCAGCCCTCACAGCTGAGAAGTAAGTGGCCATAGCTCTGTGGAAACTTGCAATGCCCAGTCAGTCAGGAATCAGTTTGGAGTAGGCAAATCTTCTGTGGGGGCTGCTGTGATGCAAGTAGCCAATGCAGTCATTGACCAGCTGCTATCAAGGGTAGTGACTTTGGGAAATGTGCAGATCATTGTGAATGGTTTTAATGCGCTGGGGTTCCCTAACTGCAGCGGGGCGATAGACGGAACGCGTATCCCTATCTTGGCCCCGGAACAGCGGGGCGGCCAGCACATAAACTGAAAGGGGTACTTTTCAGTGGTGCTGCAAGCACTGGTGGATCACAAGGGATGTTTCACCGACATCAACGTGGGATGGCCGGGAAAGGCGCATGATCGCATCTTCCGGAACTCTGGTCTGTTTGAACAGCTGCAGGAAGGGACTTACTTCCCAGACCAGAAAATTACTGTTGGGGATGTTGAAATGCCTATAGTTATCCTTGGGGACCCAGCCTACCCCTTAATGCCATGGCTCATGAAGCCATACACAGGCCCCCTGGACAGTAGTAAGGAGCAGTTCAACTATAGGCTGAGCAAGTGCAGAATGGTGATAGAATGCGCTTTTGGACATTTGAAAGCACGCTGGCGCAGTTTACTGACTAGGTTATATCTCGGCACAACCAATATTCCAATTGTAATTGCTGCTTGTGCTCCACAATATCTGTGAGAGTAAGGGGGAGACGTTTACGGCGGGGTGGGAGGTTGAAACAACTCACTTGGTGACCAATTTCGCACAGCCAGACAACAGGGCTATTAGAAGAGCGCAGCAGGGCGTGCTGCACATCAGAGAAGCTTTGAAAGCTGGTTTCATGACTGGCCAGGGTACGGTGTGACAGTTTTTCTCTTGAAGTTACCCGCTCTCTATATGTATATATGAAAGGAACTAAAGTCACAATTGCTTAAAACCATTCTTTATTATTTGTTGCGCAACACATTGAGAGAAATCAGAAGGTAGATCAGGGAGGAGGGGGGGGTATTGGGTTAGGGAAATGGAGGAGGAGGGAAGAACAAGTCCAGAAACCAAATCAAAATTTCGGATATTCCAGCTTTCTGCTGCTTGTGCAGTCCTCTGGGGTTGAGTGTGTGGGTCCCTGTAACCTCCCCGCCTGTGTTCTTGGGCACCTGGGTGAGGAGGCTAGGGAACTTGGGGAGGAGAGAGGGCGGTTATACAGGGGCTGCAGGAGCGGTCTGTGGTCTTGCTGCCTTTCCCGCATTAGATCCACCATACAGTGGAGCATGTCAGTTTGCTCCCCCATGAGCTTGACCACAGCTGCCTGCTCTCATCGCACGCGTCCCTCCTCTCTTCGTGTTCATGTAACGCTTTACGGGACTCCGCAATTGTTTGTCTCCGTGCATTCAGCTGGGCCCTATCAGTGCGGGAGGACTTCATGAGCTCGAGGAACATGTCGTCCCGAGTTCATTTTTTCCGCCTTCTAATCTGGACCAGCCTCTGGGACGGAGCAGATAGGGGCCACGTTGAAACATCTGCACCTGTGGGAGGAGAAAGAGGGAGGGTCGAATTTTAAGATACATTTTAGAGAGCAAAGGGGACACTCTTTCTCAGTGAAACAGGCAATTCACAGTACGCAGCACATGTTCTTTCTGTACAAGGTCGCATCTTGCCTCTTATACTGAAGTGCCTGCCACTTTGGTGTGAGTAAGCCACCACATGCGGCCGGGCAACAGAATTCAGCTTGCAGGCAGCCGTGGTAAGCCCTAGGGGCATGCGGTGTTCTGCTTCTTCTGCATTCATTTCAATGCTTTCAAACTGCCGGATCCCCTTTCCCATAGCAAGCAAAGCCTGGTGGATTTGCCATATAAAAGAGGGCCTGCAGGCTCTCTGGGATGATCGCTTCATACAACACCCCCTGCCCCCGCACCCACCACATGGCTGTGATGAGGCTCTGAGCAGGGATGAGCTCTTTAAACTAAACACTAACAGCCCAGCATGGCTGTGTTTCCCCCCACTCCCCACTGTGTGGCTCCGATCAGGCTCTCACTTACCAAAAGTGCCTTCTCCAGGCTCATGGTCCGGGAGCCCGCCTTGAGAGTGGGGGAGGCTGTTGGCTCCAGCATTAAGAATAGTTCCTGGCTAGGGGGGAAAACAGATTCCCCACTTGCCGCCTGTGCACTGTCGTCGTCGTCCTTCTCCTCTTCGTCCTCCAATAACTCATCCTCCTCGCTCTGTGCAACTCCCCCCTTGCAGGTGTCCACGGACAGTGGTGGGGTAGTGGTGGCGTCACCCCCCATAATTGCATGCAGCTCATGGTAGAAGCGGCATGTATGGGGCTGTAATCCAGAGCGCCCGTTCGCCTCCCTGGCTTTTTGGTACGCTTGCCTGAGCTCCTTGATTTTTGTACAACACCGTTCTGTGTCCCTGGAGTAGGCTCTTTCCATCATGGCCCTGGAGACTTTAGCGTACGTATTTGCGTTTCTTTTTTTGGAACGTAGTTCTGCCATAACAGATTCATCTCCCCAGCGTGCGATGAGATCCAGTACCTCCCGTTCGGACCATGCTGGAGCTAGTCTGCAAATCCGGGACTGCGTGGTCGCCTGTGATGGTGGACTCTGCATGGTCGTCTATGATGGTGGACTGTGCTGATGGTGACCAAACAGGAAATTAAATTCCCGGGGCTTTTACTGCCTACCTGGCTAGTGCATCGGAGTTGAGTGTCGTCCAGAGCGGTCACAAGGGAGCATTCTGGGATAGCTCCCGGAGACCAATAACGTCGAATTGCGTCCCCAGTACCTTTAACCCGAAACTGCGATCTTGATTTTAGCACTACTCCACTTGCCGAGGTGGAGTACAAAAATCGGATTAAAGAGCCTTTTACATCGAAAAAAACAGTTTGGTCGTGTGGACGGAATCAGTTTTATTTTGAATTAACTCTGCTAATTCCAAAATAACTGTGTACTGTAGACCAGGCCATAGTCCACAACGCAGATTTAACCTGGTCAGTTTCATAGTGTAGACTTATTCTAATTGTTGGAGTCACTGATAAATGGTTTTCTGGATTTCTTTTATTTCAGAACATCAAACAAATTTTTAGGGGAAGGGGGGTAAAAGAAGGGGAAATGGCTACTGAATATAAAAGTGAGGACAAAGTCCCAGAATGAAACAACAAATACTTTAAAAAGGGAGACTGCCAATGAACAAGTCTCTAAAGGGAATAGTTGCTAAGCAGTTAGCCTGGAGCCTAGTAGAGAAAGCACAGAGGTCGAACAAGGAGTGTGGCTTTAAATAGAGGACAAAGTATGTATTTGATATCTACTCTCTTCTGTATGTGCTACAGAGCTGTGTAGCTGTCTGAAGATGATCTGAGGGAGATTCCAAAAGCCACTAATAGTTTCCTTGGCTATCTTACGTAAAATTGATGTAGGTTTCTTTAATTTAGTGTTCAGAGTAACAGCCGTGTTAGTCTGTATTCGCAAAAAGAACAGGAGTACCTGTGGCACCTTAGAGACTAACCAATTTATTTGAGCATGAGCTTTCGTGAGCTACAGCTCACTTCATCGGATGCATAAAGTGGAAAGTGTAGAAGATCTTTTTATACACACAAAGCATGAAAAAATACCTCCCCCCACCCCACTCTCCTGCTGGTAACCTATTTCCCCTTGTTTTTTCCTACCCCCCCAGACGTTCTTGTTAAACCCTGGATTTGTGCTGGAAATGGCCCACCTTGATTATCATACACATTGTAAGGAGAGTGATCACTTTAGATAAGCTATTACCAGCAGGAGAGTGGGGTGGGGGGAAGTATTTTTTCATGCTTTGTGTGTATAAAAAGATCTTCTACACTTTCCACTTTATGCATCCGATGAAGTGAGCTGTAGCTCACGAAAGCTCATGCTCAAATAAATTGGTTAGTCTCTAAGGTGCCACAGGTACTCCTTTTCTTTTTTAATTTAGTGAAGGTCTATTAAGACTGGATCAGCTTTCAAGTAATTGGAAAATCAACTTTGCAACCAAAATTCCAGGGTAGAGCATTCTGGGGTGCGGAAGATGACCCCAAGCTTTATCCGTTAGGGACTGCTTTGTTGAGCTTATGTTTGTGGAGATCCATGAAGAAATCCAGATGTTGGAATAGCTCCTTCAGAGAAATCAATGGAGTCTCACACTTAGGTACAGAAAAGGTTTTGGAAATACTGTGGCAGCTGGGAGGGCCAGAGAAGGTGATATGTGACTGGGTACATGCATGCCTCTGATTATAGAAATGAAAGTTGAACATGCCTCAGCTAACTCTCTCGCCTTCTCCTGTCTGAGTCGCAGTGGGATAGTTTATGCTGACACTCTGTTTCAGTGCACTCTTCCCAGATGTGGTGAACTGTATGCAGACCGATAACCTAGAGCTGAAGAAGCTGGTCTACCTGTACCTGATGAATTATGCCAAGAGCCAGCCAGACATGGCCATTATGGCTGTCAACACCTTCGTAAAGGTGAGATGAGAGTGCTGCTTATGGTGGCAATGTACACCCGCGTCGTGGAGGGCTCAAGCTTGGTTTGCCATGTGTATCCAGAACCTAAATCATTTAGCAAAGACCCTGACTGAACTTCCACTCCTCCTCCTCAATGAGCTTACTATTGCTCTTCTAGGGGAGGAGGAAACGGGACACCCATCACCCAGTCCACCCTTACTTGTGCACCATATTCCTTCAGTCCTGGGCTTCCCTTTTCACTACTCCACCTAAGAACTTAATCCTGACCTGGCAGGATCTCCCTATGAGTGGGAGTTCAGTCTCCATGTTCATTGAGTGTTCCCCTCACATCATTCCTACACACTGCATTTGATGGGAAACCAGTATGGGGCATGGAAAGCCTGCAGACTAAATTGCCACTTAACCAGCTCCAAAGAAGTGGGCGCAGGTTGGGTTTTTCAGCCTTACCCCTCTGGTCTTGGGTAAATCAGCTGTGATTCCCTGGGGCTTGAGCACTGGATGAAAAAACTAAACTTGGCCTTTATTTTAGCTCAGAAGAAATACTTCCATGGCAGTTGTACTTCTGTTATCCTCTCCTAAATGGAGGAAGTTCTGTCCCCTCCACGAGCCTCCCATGGCTAATGGCTGTCCTGGACCATCAGCAGAGTTTACCAGTAAGGATGGCTGCAGCTGAGAAGGTCTTCATGTTCTTGCTGTAGGAGTCTGCAGCTGCAGAATGAGAATGTGTTGGGAGCAAAGATGCTGCCAAAGCAGAATTTTAAATGGTTTTGGATTTGCTAGTTCTAGTTCATGCTGGAAGCCGAATACCCTTTGTGTAGGGGTGACTTACAGGTGAAGAAAAGGGTTACACTTGATGGCTTTTGCAGAAGGAATGTAAGCACTTGGCAGAGTTGGCATTCAGGTGACACCTAATAGGTATCTAAATGAGAAATGTCAACATCCAGACAGCTAGCATTAAGGGGTTAATATCTGCAATGTGGCCCAAGCTGTCAAACTCATGTTCCTGAAGTCCTAAATCCATATTGAAGCACCTAAGGGTGACCTGATCTTAACACTCAATGCATGGCACCACTGGAATTCAGATCACTTTCATTTGGTTCCTAAATATGTACTAAGAGTTTCAGCCCCCCAAGCCTGAAAATTGTGGCCCAAAGAAGTGACTGGAATCTAACTTCTCTTTTTAACCCCGTAGGACTGTGAGGATCCCAACCCTCTGATCCGGGCTCTGGCTGTGCGGACAATGGGCTGCATCCGGGTGGATAAGATAACAGAGTATCTCTGTGAGCCCCTGAGGAAGTGTCTGAAGGATGAGGACCCCTATGTGCGCAAGACAGCAGCAGTCTGTGTTGCAAAGCTTCATGACATCAATGCTCAGCTTGTGGAGGACCAAGGTTTCCTGGACACACTGAAGGACCTCATCTCGGATTCCAACCCTATGGTGATTGTTCTTTTCGGCTTTCATTCACTGCTCTATGCTGTCTTCCTCTCTTCTTCTCCAGAAATAGAACCTAGATAGAGCCAGAAATAGAACCTAGATTTCCTGACACCCAGGGTCCCCATCCGCTATCTCCCGGGCAATACTGCCTCCTTGCATGTATGTGACTATGAATGGGAAGGTGTTAGACATGCAAAATGGATGTTAATTGCCTGCCTGTCCTCTCTCAGGTGGTGGCTAATGCAGTAGCAGCCCTTTCGGAAATAGCAGAGTCTCACCCAAGCAGTAACCTGCTGGACCTGAACCCTCAATCTATTAACAAGCTGCTGACGGCCCTGAATGAGTGCACTGAGTGGGGCCAGATCTTTATCCTGGACTGTCTGGCTAACTACATGCCCAAGGATGACCGGGAGGCACAGAGGTGAGGAGGTCGGGGGAAGCTGTGGATCCCGCTGTTGGGAGGCCCGGAGGTGGGGCCGGGTGGAAGGCCTGTGGATCCTGCTGTTGAGTTGCTGGGGCATCTGGACATTAGGGATCCAGAAATCAGACTGATTGGCTAATGACTTAGCATATTTAACATCCCTGTGGTGGGAAGAACGCCGCACAGCCCAACACTGGGGCATTTAATTTCAGAAAGGGGAATGATGCAAAAATGAGGAGGTTAAACAGAAATTTAAAAGGTACTGTGACTAGAGTCTCTACGTAAAAGAATATGCCCCTCTGCCATGTACATTGGCCAAACTGGACAGTCTCTGCTTAAAAGAATAAATGGACACAAATCAGATGTCAAGAATTATAACATTCAAAAACCAGTCAGAGAACACTTCAGTCTCTCTGGTCACTCAATTACAGACCTAAAAGTGGCAATTCTTCAAAAAAACTTCAAAAACAGACTCCAGCGAGAGACTGCTGAATTGGAATTAATTTGCAAACTGGATACAATTAACTTAGGCTTGAATAGAGACTGGGAGTGGATGGATCATTACACAAAGTAAAACTATTTCCCCATGTTTATCCTCCCCCCCCTCCCCCACCCCCCACTGTTCCTCAAATGTTCTTGTCAACTGCCGGAAATGGTCCACCTAGATTATCACTACAAAAGGTGTCCCCCACCCCCACCCCGCTCTCCTGCTGGTAATAGCTCACTTTAAATGATCACTCTGGTTACAGTGTGTATGGTAACACCCATTGTTTCATGTTCTCTATCTATATAAATCTCCCCACTGTATTTTCCACTGAATGCATCCGATGAAGTGAGCTGTAGCTCACAAAAGCTTATGCTCAAATAAATTTGTTAGTCTCTAAGGTGCCACAAGTACTCCTTTTCTTTTTAGTGACTAGAGTGAAATCCCTGCAAGCTGCATGGACACTTTCAAAGACACCATAATAGAGGCTTAACTTAAATGTATACCGCAAATTAAAAAACACAGTAAAAGAACTAAAAAAGAGCCACCGTGGCTCTACAACCATGTAGAAGAAGCAGTGAAAAATAAAAAGGTATCTTTTTTAAAAAGTGGAAGTCAGATCCTAGTGAGGTAAATAGAAAGGAGCATAAACACTGCCAAATTCAAATGTAAAAATGTAATAAGAAAAGCCAAAAAGGAGTTTGAAGAACAGGTAGCCAAAAACTCAAAAGGGAATAACAAAATGTTGTAGGTGACAAATCTGAGGAATTGTCACAGATTGAAGTGTCACGAGAGGTGGTTTTGGAATTAATTGAGGAACTTAACAGTAACAAGTCACCGGGACCAGATGGCATTCACCTAAGAGTTCTGAAAGAACTCAAATGTGAAATTGCGGAACTATTAACTATGGTTGGTTTGTAACCTGTCCTTTAAATCAGCTACTGTACCCAGTGACTGGAAGATAGCTAATGTAATGATAGCTAATGCCAATATTTAAGAAAGGCTCTAGAGGTGATCCTGGCAATTACAGACCAGTAAGTCTAACGTCAGTACCGGGCAAATTAGTTGAAACAATAGTAAAGAATAAAATTGTCAGACACATAGAAGAACATAAATTGTTGCGCAAAAGTCAACATGGTTTCTGAAAAGGGAGATCATGTCTTACTAATCTCTTAGAGTTCTTTGAGGGGGTCAACAAACATGTGGACAAGGGGATCCAGTGGACATAGTGTACTTAGATTTCCAGAAAGCCTTTGACAAGGTCCCTCACCAAAGGCTCTTACGTAAATTAAGTTGTCACGGAATAAGAGGGAAGATCCTTTCATGGATTGAGAACTGGTTAAAAGACAGGGAACAAAGGGTAGGAATAAATGGTCAATTTTCAGAATGGAGAGGGGTAACTAGTGGTGTTCCCCAAGGGTTAGTCCTAGGACCAGTCCTATTCAACTTATTCATAAATGATCTGGAGAAAGGGGTAAACAGTGAGGTGGTAAAGTTTGCAGACTATATTAAACTGCTCAAGATAGTTAAGACCAAAACAGACTGTGAGGAACTGCAAAAAGATATCACAAAACTAAGTGATTGGGCAACAAAATGGCAAATGAAATTTCATGTGGATAAATGTAAAGTAATGCACGTTGGGAAAAAATAACCCCACTTACACATACGATATGATGGGGGCTAATTTAGCTACAAGTAATCAGGAGAAAGATCTTGGAGTCATCATGGATAGTTCTCTGAAGACATCCACGCAGTGTGCAACGGCAGTCAAAAAAGCAAACTGGATGTTAGGAATCATTAAAAAAAGGGATAGAGAATAAGACGGAGAATATCTTATTGCCCTTCTATAAATCCATGGTATGCCCACATCTTGAATACTCCGTACAGATGTGGTCCCCTCATATCAAAAAAGATACACTGGCATTAGAAAAGGTTCAGAAAAGGGCAACTAAAATGATGAGGGGTTTGGAACAGATCCCATATGAGGAGAGATTAGAGGCTAGGACTTTTCAGCTTGGAAAAGAGGGGATATGATAGAGGTCTATAAAATCATGAGTGGTGTGGAGAAAGTGAATAAGGAAAAGTTATTTACTTGTTCCCATAATATAAGAACTGGGGGCCACCAAATGAAATTAATGGGTAGCAGGTTTAAAACAAATAAAAGGAAGTTCTTCTTTACTCAGCGCACAGTCAACCTGTGGAACTCCTTGCCTGAGGAGGTTGTGAAGGCTAGGACTATAACAGAGTTTAAAAGAGAACTGGATAAATTCAGGGAGGTTAAGTCCATTAATGGCTATTAGCCAGGATGGGTAAGGAATGGTGTCCCTAGCCTCTGTTTGTCAGAGGGTGGAGATGGATGGCAGGAGAGAGATCACTAGATCATTACCTGTTAAGTTCACTCCCTCTGGGGCACCTGGCATTGGCCACTGTCGGTAGACAGGATACTGTGCTGGATGGACCTTTGGTCTGACCCAGTATGTCCATTCTTATGTTCTTAGTTTCTTGAGCTATATGGGACCTACATGCTTCTTTAAATGAGTAGACCATATAGACCACATCCCTCCAGTGCCAGGTCTCCCTGCAGAACCCTGGTTTTTATACCCTGGACAGTGCAAGGAGTAAGTATCACTAGTTCCCTGGGGCATATCTCTTCCTGTTCTTTATCTGAGAATCCACTGTTATGCTGTTCTGTTCTGTCAAGGAGACCTAGACTCTGCGTCTTCTTGAGTGTGTTTTGGTTTCTAGGTCACCTCGAGGCGATGGCTCAGAAGTGGCATGAGAGATTTTTCTTTGCTGGCTGAGTTAGTTCACCAGCACTGGCAGTGAGGGCTCAAGTTTGGGACCCTATCTCTGATCCATTGTTGGGTTTGCCCCTCCAGCAGTACTGTGAGCCCAGATTACTTTCAGGGCAGCAAAGCATGAAAGAAATGGTTGAAAGTAGTCCCTAATGTGAACCAAATACTGGCACAGGCTTGTAACCTTGGTGGTACTTGCAAAGTTTTGTCTTAAGGGTTAAAACTCTTTTCTATCCAGTGGCTTTGTATTTGCCTTTCTTGTTCTCCCTTCTCCCCGCACCCCTCCCAGCATCTGTGAACGGGTGACGCCCCGGCTGTCCCATGCCAACTCTGCTGTGGTCCTGTCAGCAGTGAAAGTGCTGATGAAGTTCATGGAGATGCTGTCAAAGGACCTGGATTATTATGGCACCCTGCTGAAGAAGTTGGCTCCTCCTCTGGTCACGCTGCTCTCAGCGGAGCCTGAGCTGCAGTACGTGGCTCTCCGCAACATCAACCTCATTGTGCAGAAGAGGTGAGATGCAGCCGTCTAATGCTGCAGGGAGGCAGGGTAGGGAGGCATAGTCGGCTCCTCCTCTATGCCAGGCCTGGCTGGCCTCAGGCAAACCCTTCTCCCTGCTCAGACCTCAGCAGTGGGGCCTTAACTACCCAGGAATCGAATGCCCTGAATATAAATTACTTCGTAAGCTACACAGCAGAACAAGGAGGGATAGCTCAGTGGTTTGAGCATTGGCCTGCTAAACCCAGGGTTGTGAGTTCAATCCTTGAGGGGGGCCATTTGGGATCTGGGGCAAAAATTGGGGATTGGTCCTGCTTTGAGCAGGGGGTTGGACTAGATGACCTCTTGAGGTCCCTTCCAACCCTGATATTCTGTGATTCATTCTGTGAAATATATGTGGCCCAGCCCCTGTTGTGATAGTTCAGTTACAGATGTACAGCTTGAGCTTTCAGAGCCGTCAGGGCTGACAATCGCTGGTATGGGCTTGCTTTAAATCCCAGTAGAATCCTTCCTCTTTCCTCGGCAGTGTTGGAATCCCAGAGACGCTCTGAATCAAGAAATGAAATGGACTAGAAACTAAGGGTTTGTCTATGCTGCCATCACAGGATGCCATTGCAGCTCACGGGGCAGAGCCAAGCTCTGACTGAGCTATTTCAGGGCCTGGAGCAGGGAAGCCAGTAAAGCACAGGCTGTCATGGCTTCACTGCGGTGGTATCTGAACTAGCCAGATCAAAGCTAGGTCTGAACCAGCTCTAATGACACCCTGTGATTGCAGTGTAGATATATCTTTAGATACAAGCGTGTCTCTCCCAGTGAAGTGTGTACTGTTCGTTGCCTTCTCATGCTTTATGCTGTACATGATACAACTGTCAAATTCTTTTTCCGTTATCAAATGTCTAATGACTTAGGGAAAAATAATTTTTGTGTCGCTCTTTAAAACGTAGCTGTTCCTTTTCAAAGAAAGGAATATCTAAAAGCGCCCTTTCCTGCTTCATGCAACTTCTAAAATCTGCCTATGTCCAATGGGGCATTACAGGCTACAGGTATGTAGACAGCGTCTTCCTTACAAGTTCTACAAGACTAACCAGCCACTGTAAACCATAACTAGATGGTGAGTTCTGTCCACCAGTGGTTAAGGGAGAGTCCAGATCAGATGTTTACATTTCTTTCCTAGCCATTATTGCATGTTGAAATTAGAAGCTTCTTCTGGAAGTGGAGAGCAAATAGAACTGAGAAAGGTGGGTCAGCTAATAGGTTGTTAATCTAAAAGCCAGTCCCATTCTCAGTTTGGAGAGGACTGATGGTCTAGTGCAGGGGAGCGCAAACTTTTTGGCCCGAGGGCCACAACTGGATGGGGAAATTGCATGCAGGGCAGGGGGTTGGGTGTGGGAGGGGGCTCAGGGCAGGGGTGCGGAGTGAGCAGGGAGCTCAGGGTAGGGAGTTGGGGTGCAGAAGGGCTTCGGACTCTGGCCCAGTGCTGCTTACCTGGAGCCGCTCCGGGGTGACAGCGGCGCACGCTGCTGCCAAGGCAGGCTCCCTGCCTGTCCTGGCCCTGCGCCACTCCCAGAAGCAGCCGGCACCACGTCCCTGCGGCCCCTGGGGGACGGGGGGGCAGAGGGCTCTGTGTGCTGCCCTTCCTTGTGGGTACATCCCCTGAAGCTCCCTTTGGCTGTGGTTCCCCGTTCCGGGGTGCGGTGCCAACAAAATAAAACCATGTCCGTGAGAGGCATAGAGCTTTTTGCAGCAAAGTTAAAGCAAGAAAGCATCAATGTAGATGCTGCTGTTCGTTATGTCGCAGTAACTGTTCTCCCCCAGTATCCCACAATGCCCACCGTGACTGTCCTGCTCACTGTTCTGAACTCTGCTGCCCTGCAGGCATGCACCCCTCCCCTTTCAAAGGTCCAGGAAGCTTTGACATTCCTCAGCATGGAGAGCCCATATGCTGAGCATGCAGCTTCCAGCAGCAAAACAGTCCAGGCCGGAGAGCCTTTGCTACCTTGGTCTGTGGGCTGAGGAGGATGTAGGAGAACTGGGAGGGAATTTCAGAACCATCCTCCTCTCCCCAGCACTAGGAACACAGCAGCAGGCAGAGGAGGCTGCTGCAGCTCAGGGATAAGAAGAGAGAGACTGTAGAGCTGTGTTGAGCCAGGGAAGGAGGCGGGGGCTGAAGTGAGGGTGGGTGTCCCCCTCCCCCTGCCTCAGAATTGGTTGGTTCCCGCTGCTGTCTGAACTTAGAGACAGCATGCTGACACACTCACGCTCCCACAACACACATGTACTCTCTCTCCCCCCACATACACACACGCTTCCTGTCACACACGCTTCCCCACCACACACGTCCGTTGAAAAGCAGCTGGCAAGGCAATCTAGTAGGATGCCCATGGAATGATGGGTTCAGAAATCTGCATCATGTGATGCTGTACCTACTCCATGAGGCATTGCAAACCCTTCCCAAAGCACTGTGCAGCCAGTTAGAGTGGGACAGCTACCCACAGTGCACTGCTCTGTCGATGCAAGAGCTGCTAGTGTGGATGTGCTCTGCCAACACAAGGAGTATAATGTGGACATGCAACAGCGGTTTAATTAAAGCGGTTGCTGTATGTTGGCTTAACTTTTGTCTACAAAACTCTAATGTAGACAAGGCCTAAAGATTGATTGAGCTCAGATGCTATGGTAATGGTGGCCATACAAGTCCCCAAGAGTTTTCTATCCTCAGCCCTTCCATGTTGCCTTGTGCAAACCCCAGAAGCAGTTGCTGCTGCAGAAATAACCCTGTTGTCCTCGAGAAAAGTGTGTGTTGGGGAAGGAGAGGAGGACTGTATAAATTATCTCCAAACTTGTAGCTGTTTTTCCCCCCAATTGCAATATTCTTCCCAGCCCTGCTCAGTACTGTTCTTGAGCACTGATATCGAGATGGAGCCTAGTGGCCAGCTAGATCGGACTCTCCTTGTGGTGGGCACTGTGCTACTCAAGGCTTTCAGGAAGCTTTATTGTGCTGCCATCTGTGGTTAAGATCCTCTATCACAAGGTCTTGGTCAGTTCTTCAGCCCTCTCTAAGCACAAGCTACAGCATGTAACCAACGCTTCTAGCTAACTCACAAGGGAATCAGTTTTATGTTTCAGGATATCAGATGATTGCAGGGATCAGGGCATATTTCTCTTTCTGCCTCCCTCCCACATGTACAGCATTGTACAATGCAGCTAGCTGCATTAGAAGGGAGAATTGGGGGGATCACTGATCTCAAAAGATTCAGGTACTGCCACTGCCAGAAGCAGGATATTGGACCTGAAAGATGAATGACCTGATCTAGCAAATCCCATGTTCCCATCCGAGCTGGGTGTGCTCCTTCAGACTTGGAAAGTTGAGGGAATGGTGAAGAGGAGCAGCATGCGGCTAAAACCATCGAGTCACTCCCAACCTTGCCACGAGGCTCTGAGGTTTGGGAAGCAGTTGTGTTGACACAGGTGCATGTTGGACATCCTCAGCACATGGGGGTGGGGGGATCAGCACTGGATTTTAAAATGGCTCTTTGCTGGTTCACACGATAAAATGTAAAGAGTTAGAGTGCCGTTTAACACTGCCTGTCTCCCCCTCCAGGCCTGAAATCCTGAAGCATGAGATGAAAGTGTTTTTTGTGAAGTACAATGACCCCATCTACGTAAAACTGGAGAAACTGGACATCATGATCCGTCTGGCTTCCCAGGCCAACATTGCTCAGGTCAGCCCTCCTCCCCAGGTGATCCAGCCTACTTTGTGCCTGCTGGATGGAGCAGGCTGTGGGAAGGTTGTTCCCCACTGTCACCCTTCGGCCTGGTGTAACTATCTGCAAGTTCCTGAAAGGTGTAAACTGTGACTAGAAAACCTATTCTGGCTGGTGAAATGGGGGAAGGGGGTGGTGATCGTGTGAAACTAAACCAAGGAGTTGACAATGTTACTAGTGGGAATGGGAATTTCATAATGGAGAGCTCTGTCAGGGTCTGAACCAAAGCCCACTGAAGCCTATGGAACAACTCCCCTTCTGAGTTCAGCCTTTGGCTCTTAGCCTTAGACTGGGGACTCTTCTCCCAAGGGCAGTGATAGAAACCCCAGGGCTGGCGATATTTAAAGTGGCCTGGACTAAGGGCAGAACCCTGTCTTCGTCCCAAGGAGGGCTGGACTGTCCGCCTGGTAAAAGTCTGTTTTTCCAGCCCCAGTTTCAGGGGCGGGGGCTGAGTTCTCTAGCATTGCTGCCCTCCAGCATTTTCTGCAGACCGATGCCTGCTGAGAGAGCTAAGCAAGTTCTAGAAGGATCCAGGATCCTGATCCCCTTTGGCTCTCGCATCCCCTCCCATACCAGCATCAGCACTGTACCTTCACCATTACAGTGGGAGAGCTGGAAATTTCTGCTTCACGCCTGTGCCCTGCCTATGCACACGCACACCTCAGGAGCATGTGCGTCCTTACCTCAGTGCCTCCTCATTACCTAAGCATAGCACTGCAAGCTTCCTTGCTTTCAGCCAGCATTAAATACCAAGGGGGAGCCTTGTCAAGCAGCCATATCTGGTTAGCCTCAGCCTATGAATATTGTGGCTAATGAGATACTAAGGGTGTGTAGCTCTTCAGAACATTGGCAAACTGTGCCTCTATGAAGCCAGCAGACCACGATGCTGTCAAGAATGTTTTGTCAGCCTGAGCCTCTGGCTGTTTAGCAGCCCATTGTCACATCCCTTTTGAGGGATCCTGGCCCCCTACTGCCAAAGGGCAGGGGCATCTGCTCCAGTGACTCCTCCCTGGTGGGACAGGGTTCACCTTTCTGCCCTCCCTGGCAGGTGCTTGCTGAGCTGAAGGAGTATGCAACAGAAGTGGATGTGGACTTTGTGAGGAAGGCAGTCCGAGCCATCGGCCGCTGTGCCATCAAGGTTGAGGTGAGTGGCAGGATGTATTGGCCAGCATGACAAGGAGAAGCCTCTCTCTTGTGGGGAAAGCTGGGGCTGGGGTTAGCTTAAAGAAATTCAAGCCTGAGCTGTGTAACAAACCAAAGCTACACCATCTGGGGGAGAGGGGAAGGGTGATCTTCATACATAGTTCCTCTAGATGTGCCCTCATGCATCAGCTGTTCCTCATGTGCTGTGTTTAATTGTGTCCTAACTGCAGGAGGCTAGATTCAGAAGTAGGGTGCAAAAAGGTGTAACTTCACATCTGGATTGAATTAATCGTCCCATGCTTGATTCCATACGTCCTCTCTTCTTCTCTCCTCTGCTCAAAGTGCTAAGCACTTACAGCCTCGAGGAACAAGATCTAGAAGAATCTTTGCTTTTGCGAGCTCGAGAGAGGTGGGGCTGCAGTTGTTCCAGGAGGTATATTTCCATCAGTACCTCTAGAGAGGGGCATGGAATTTATTTAACCCATCCATGCAGTGGTCTCAATTGTTAAGGCTTGTGCTCTGGTACTGCTGCATCCTTGGGCCTTTTGACCCAGAGCTAAGATGGCTATTGCTTGTGACAGACTGGACAGGGAAATATGTATTGATAAGCTTCGTCAGTGAAGCAAGTGATTAACAGTTCGACTTGTTGAGAGACTGTAGGAGACTTGGGATTAAGTTAAGCCTTCGCTTGGGTGTGTCGAAGGCTTTGTTCCCACTCAGGAGTAATTTGGAGGAAAGGACTATTGAACCTTCCTGAAATTCCGGACGCTTCCCCATGGCTTTGTGTTGTCTCCAAGCCACCTATTTATAGACAAATTCAGGATGAATTTGATTTGACAGATGTTAAATTATGTGTATTAATGCCAAATACTCTAAAGCAAATTAGAGAAATAGCTTGGCGATAGCAACCCAGCCATGTTGGAAATAAACTGTTAAACAAGGCATAACTGGAGCTAGCTTGGCCTTCCTTCACTCAAATCCACTGTGAGTGTGTGAATCTGAGTGAGAACCTAGTTAGCCCAGGCTGGAGCTCTCGTTACACAAATCCAATCATTCTGCGGCTGCGAGATCCTCTTCTGAACTGGGCTTCTTACCATGTGCAGTATTTGGCTTGGCTGTTGAACTTTTTCCCCTTGTGGTTGACTCTTCTCTCAGTGATCTCAGATGAACAATGTTAATAAAATTATAGACTCCCAGCCTTTGCCTTTAACATAGACATCTGGCAGGCCTCAGAGTCTTCCATGGCCATTGTGGTAGTCAGGACAGGAAGCCTCTGCTGGCACAGAAATGTGAGAAATGAACAGTTTACATCATTTATTAAGAAGTGCCACATATAGGCAACATGTCATGTGGCTCAGGCTTAAATTTTGTATTAAAAGTGAGATGAAGAAAAGATTAATATTCTCTTTCCCCATAGGTTTCAGAGGGGCAGCCGCATTAGTCTGTATCAGCAAAAACAACGAGGAGTCCTTGTGGCACCTTAAAGATGAACACATTTATTTGGGCATAAGCTTTCGTGGGCTAGAACCCAAGTGGGTTCTTTCCCCATAGATAGTGCAACTGTTAAACTGAGTTTGAGTCTCAGGACACACTCTGCTTGTTTGTGTCATTAGCATAGTGCTCTACCTAATGTGGCTGGAGTCACTGCCGTAGCAAAGCAAGGCCCTACACTTAACTTGTAGGCATGTATCTGTCGTGTGATAACTTTGGAACCCTGTATCTGATCAATTTCCCTAGAATGCTCCTTGAAATTTTGGATTTTTAACAGAACAGGGACTTAGAGGGGTGGGTATGGACTTAATGATGGGGGCATGGGGAGCAAGGATCTGCAAGAAAATAGTGGCAAGGGAGTCTGGGAAGTTGACAGACTTCCCTGGAGTGCAACCCGGAACTTGGGTAGCGCTGAGTCTTCTGTCACACCAGACTGGGCTCCCTTATTCACTGTGATACTGTGACAAGTTGCAGACCTCTCCCACTCGGACACTCACACAAGCATTTACACAGGCAGGGATACACCCAGCTGCAGTTACATTAATGCCTTTGCCAGTCACTCAACAATAGAGAGGCTTCAGCCCCCAGCCTATGACCCCAGAGCTGTACCATCTTGCCCTGACCAGAGTAAGTTTATTACCCAGTCCCCCCTCCCTCCCTCAGTGTGGAGAGGACAATGCACCAGCTCCTGTTAGTGAGCAGATTTTCTTTTGCATTTCAAACAACACACTATTTTAGGTAAAAAGTATAAAACAGATTTATTAACTACAGAAAGATTTTAAGTGATTATAAGTAATAGCATACAGATCAAAGTTGGTTACCTAAGAAATAAACAAAATCACAATCTAAGTTCTATACACTAGACAGTATTTGAATCAAGCAGTGTCTTACCCTGATGGCACAGGCAGTTTACAGATCTTTCATACACAGGCTGGGATTCCTACTTTTCCGCCTGGGACCACCTTCCCCAGTTCAGTTTTTGTTTCTAAGGTGTTTCCAGGTGTTGAGTTGTAGAGGGAGTAAGGCCCAGTGGTGGTGTCACTTCCCCCTTTTATAGCTTCTTCCATGTGGAGGGACCTTCTTTGTTCCAAGCAAAATCCCCAGCACAGTTAATGGAAAAGTACAGGCACAAGATGGAGTCCAGTATCACATGATCTAGTCACGTGCCCTTGTATGCTTCGATTAGTCATAGCAGCCATTACTCCTATACTCATTGAAGTGTCCACAGGAACACCCATCAGATGAGGATAAGCTTTCCCGATCCCCTCAGGGGGTGCTGGAACAATTTTTATAGTTGTTTGTTGATCAAAGGGGCCATGGTGTTTATAGTGAGGGTGGTTTCAGAGTAACAGCCATGTTAGTCTGTATTCGCAAAAAGAGAAGGAGTACTTGTGGCACCTTAGAGACTAATGCTCAAATTGGTTAGTCTCCAAGGTGCCACAAGTCCTCCTTTTCTTATAGTGAGGGTGCTGAGAGCTATTGAACCAAACTGTAAACCCTTTATATAATGGAAACCACTTCAAGCCAGGGGGTGTGGTAGTACTCCCAACACCCTTAATTCCAGCATTTTTGCATGGCCCATTGTTTTTGTTGATAGGCTATTACCTTGAATAGTCTGTTTACAATGTGCTGGTTAAACTAGATGTAAAGTAACTTGTGGGAGTTATCCAGGAGCAAGCACCTTTGAAATACAGATGCATAGTCAATATTCATTACTCCAGATACAAAAATGATATGTGCATACAAATGGGATAATGCTATTGAGCAAACCATAACTTTTTCCACTGATGCCTCACATGATATATTTTGTATAAGATACATCACAATTATATCACAGTTGCCTCATAATTATATCATTCTGGTGAATATGGGAGTACTGAGTGTCACAGAAGTAATGGGGAGGGAAGCAGAGACCTGGAGTGGAGAATTGGGGAGGGAGAAATGAGGACCGTTTGGGAGGGGAAAAGTGGAAACTTGGAAGTGAGGAGAAATGCAGGGAGCAGAGACTCTGGCATGGGAGGAACAGTGCTGACCCCTGGTATGAGTGTAGGGGAGAAATGGGGGCACACAGAATCCCTGCCGAGGGAGTGAATGGGGGGCAATGGTATGGGGGGAAAAGGGTAATGAAGAGAGCACACAGCCTCTCTTGTGGAAGGAGGAGGAAATGGGGAAGGAGGAGGAAATGGGGAGCATAAGAGCCCCTGGCTGTTGGGAGCGTGGTGGGGGGAGTTGCAGGGAGTTTTTGCGAGAGAGGGGGATGGGAGGGTGACCTCCAGTGAGCTTGTAGAGTGGATGGAGGCTACAAGGAGCTCTTGGTATGTGTGAAGAGCTCCGTGGAAACAAGCTGAGGTGTGCATCCCTCTAGTGTGTACAGGAGCTGTCGGAGGGGATACAGGTGCCTCTGCTTTCAGTGCCCAGAAATTCTGCCTTGCTGCTGGTACCACTCTCACTCCATCTCCAGGGATGCACCAAATGCAGTGGGACTCCCTGGTGGGGCTGTCAGTTCTCTCTATTCTCCGCTGCTGCTGATTGACCATGTCCCTCTCTTCTCTGAACAGCAATCAGCGGAGCGCTGCGTCAGCACGCTGCTCGACCTAATCCAGACCAAAGTCAACTATGTGGTGCAAGAAGCCATTGTGGTTATCAAGGACATCTTCCGCAAGTACCCGAACAAGTACGTGAGCAGCACCTGCTGACTGCTCCTCTGTGCGCTGCTCCAGTGAGCCTGAGCAACTGCTCACTGGGCCAGGCTTGCTAGCTTGCTTTGCTGCTCAGTCTAGCAAGCCTTTCAAGGGCTTGATCGAAGGGAGGTCATGTTCTGGGGAAATCTTTCTGCACCCGCCCCCTTTTTTAAGACCCTATTTAGGAAAGCAGCTAAGCGCATGCTTAAGTTCCGTTGACTTCCATGTGACTTAAGCATGTGCTTAAGTCCTTTGTGAAATTGGAGCCAATGCAAACCCCTTGTGTGCCAGCCATACAGTTATTCCCAGTGACGTGAGGGAGGCTGCATGAAGTCTGGGATTTGCAACACACTAAGACATGGAAGGCTGTCAGTTATCTGTGAGGCTGACAGTCTTTGTGCCTGAATCCCTGGTCTGAGCTGGACTGTACATGAAACAGGGGTGGTGTCTTTTGTGAGAATAAAGTTGGGGTACAGGAAGGCCAGCCGCGGCTCTGAGCCTCAAGATCCAAAGATGGGATGAAGCCCCAGAAGAGAGATCAGATAACCAGGCAAGAAGTTTAAAGTGATTTTTTTGGATCCATGCATTAGCATATTCAACTGGCTCTAACCTCTCTCCTCATGACTCAGCTTCTCTAGTATGTGACAACATCCATAGATGGAGAGAACAGTAGGGCTGAATGAGACAGGATTCTCGAATGAGCAGCGTCTTTAGTGAAGGGCCCTTGGCAGGAGGGAGAGCTAGGCTCCTTGTTGCATTGTAATGTGCTGAAGTCCTCTTCCTTCTTGTATCTCGGCATAGCAGGGAGGGGACTGTCACAAACAGGAAATAATGGCATCTCTGGCAGTAATTGTCAGCTAAAGGCTGCTGTGATGGGTTGGTCACTCCCCCTCCCCCCATTTGGGGTGCCACCTGATGTGCTGGGGTCCCACTGAGCCCGCCTGTCCCACCAGCCTGGGTTACCCTTATTCTGTGCTGCTGTGACCGGCTCGGAAGCCCCCTTCCAGCACACACACAGGTAGGGACACGCCCAGCTGTAGAATCACACACAGTCTGCAGTCAGCTCTGTGTGGGAGGACAGGGGACACTTTGGTGCACACCCCCTCTGGATTGTAAACCCAAAATTATATTGTCTTGTATGGTACAGAGATTTATACAGCATAAGCTCATAAAATTCTCCCCCTCCCTCAATGTGGAGGAAGATGTGCACAGCTCTTTGCCCCTCCTCCCCCAGTCATGAATTATACAAACTGGATTTTGGAATAGACAAAAAACAAGTTTAACTACAAAAGGTAAATTTAAAGTGATTATAAGGGATAGCAAACAGATCAAAGCAGATTACTGAGCAAATAAAACAAAACATGCAAGCTAAGCTTAATAGACTAAGGAATACTGGCTACAAAGAATAATTTCTCATCCTAAATGTTGTTTCAAGCAGGTTGCAGAGTTTCTTGAAGGTAAACTGCACCGCGTGCAGCTTAACTCTCCAGGGATTCCTTTCACAGGCTGCCCTTTCTCGCCTGGGCTCAGCCCCTGCCTCCCCCAGCTTAGTTCCTTTGTTTCTTCAGGTGTTTTCAGCAGTCTTCCTTCTTGGGCGGGGAGACAGTGGAGAAGAGTCCAGATTAACTCACTCCCCAGCCTTAAATAGGATTTGCATATGGCAGGAATCCTTTGTTTCCCATCCTGTGGAAAAATATCAGCAATTTAAGATTATATCCTGTACCAGGTGATATGATCACATGACCCTGCAGTATCAAAGCAGCATCCCAGGAAACTTCTCAGGAAGGAGGGAGATTAGTATCTTCAAAGCCTTATTGTCTTTCCTAATATCCATCCAGGCTGTTTGCATACTGTCTGGGCACTCCCCAGGTGAAAACACGGTTGTAATTACTACTTAGTCAATATTTCTAATTCCAGATACAGAAATGATACATGCGTACAAATTGGATAATCACATTCAGTTAATCACATTCAGTAAATCATAACCTTTCTAATGATAGGTTTCCAGCCCATCTTGCACAAAACATATCTTAGTTATGCCATATTCATATCATATTTCTGTGAAGAATTTGGGACGTAATGTCACAGCTGCCACTGAGCTGGAGAAGATAGCAGAGGGTGATCAGGATGAGTTGCTTATGACTTAATTATATAGAGAGGCTAGAGGATCCAGGCCTATACTCTCTGAAAAAGCGATGACATGGCTGAAGTAGAGCCAGCCCTTGTGCACGCTGCAGACTCGCACTATACAATTTCTGATTTTGTCAAAGGCAAGAGCAATGGGCACAGACTGCTGCTAATAATGAAGGATCTGTCCCTAGATGCTGTCTCTGAACAGAGCATAGCAGAGACTCCCCAAAGGCAGCGGTAAGAGCCAAGAGCTGGAGAAGCATTTGCAGGAGAATGCACGTGTTGGAGCCCTTGGAATCTCCTGGCTTTTGTTTGACTGTACCGTCTCCAAGTACAGTCAAACAAAGGGAGACAAGGGAAGCTGAGCTAAGGGAACCTCCCTTCTGATGGGCTAACGTGAGTCCTACAAAGGGCTTCCTGGATTCTTTGGTTTCAGTTGATCTAAAGCAAAAATGTTGCTTTCGCAATATCTGACTCTCCTGACAACCTCTCCTGTTCACACTCCACCATCCCCTTCTCCATGGTCCCAACCTCCCTTCCTTTCTTTTTCATTCACTCACCAGTAGCTTCAAGGATCTAAAACCCAGCAGCAAGGGCCTGTAGTAACTCTCCTCTTCCCCCACCCCCAAATAAATCCCTAGGCCCCCGCTGGCCGTGACCTAATGGAATAGACCTGACGGAGTCTCAGTTGCGCTGAACCTAGTGGGAAGACTCGGACTGCATGCTCTGAGACACTGTGTGTAGTTGCAGGGTGTGTTACAGTCATGCTAGAAGGAACAATCTTAACTCTTATCAAGATAAGATCATGCTATGGGGCATTCGTTCACTGTAGCTCAGACTTCCCGTAATTTCATCTCTACTGGAAAACCGCCCTGAACTTGAGAGTAGCCTTTCAGGGGGTGGGGGGTATATGACATCACCTCACTACTTACCACCATTGTGCACAACATGCCAGTTCACGCACCACAAAGAAACTCCTCCAGGGATGGTTGGATTTGTCTGGTTCCCCATGAGCTGCTTAACTCTGTCTACACTGTTGTGAAGGTACGAGAGCGTGATTGCTACCCTGTGTGAGAATCTGGACTCCCTCGATGAGCCCGAGGCCCGGGCTGCCATGATTTGGATTGTGGGAGAATATGCTGAGCGAATTGACAACGCAGATGAGCTACTGGAGAGCTTTCTGGAGGGCTTCCATGATGAGAGCACTCAGGTGATGGGATGGAGCTGGAAAGTCAGATGGACAGGGCTGGGGGGAAGGATGGCTCGAAGTACTGATCATGGGTCACAGAGCTTCTCTCTAGGTCACTGCTTAACCTTTACAAAGGGACCTGGATCTTGAGCTATCCTTTCCCCAAAGATCTATGCCCCCAAGATGAGGTTTGCAGGGCCAGCATGGGGGAAGCTTTCCTTGCTGCCGCTCATGCTGTTCCTGTTCTCTGGATGAACTGAGGACTCTGATCTCCAGAGCTATGCCTGTGTCACCTGAGACTGTGCGGTGTTTCAGTTATCCATTAACTTGTAAACTGCCTCCAGAGTTCTGTGCAGGGTCCCTGTGTGAATGTCTGTGCTGCTCATTTACAGGAGACTTACCCAGTAAGCAAAGATGTATTTTTAGCTTGTGTGCTGTGCTGGGTGGTTGAGCTGAGCTGAGCAGTGTAATTACTTTTTCATTTCCCTAAACACTTTCACCCCATGGGATGCTCTTGAGAGCACGGCTTCTGCACCTTGTCCCTAGGCAATGGGATCTCAGTCAGTTTTCAGATCAGGACATGCCCACAGTCACTTCTGCTGTGGTAAACTAAGGTCAAGGCAAAACCACTGAAACACTGGGTGTAGCTCTAGGTTCTGCCCCTCGCCTAGAGGAGGCAGGGAGTGAGCTTGTGAGGCTGCCCTAACCCTAGGATTGTTTTGGGATTAAGACAATGAGCTGGGCCTGGGAGATGTGGATTCTATTCCTGCCACTGACTTCCTGTGTGACCTTGGGTAAATCACTTAGTTCCCCCGTGTCTCAGTTTCCCGTCTGTAAAATGGGGGTAATACTTCCCCACAACACTCTCAAAAGGCGGGATAAGCCTGTTCATGTTTATAAAATGCTCTGGAACTGACATGGGGGAAGGGGCCTGGAGAAAAGCTTATAAAGAAACATAAAATATCCAAATAAACTTTATATTCCATAACATTTAGATCAAGGGGAAGAGGGAAATTGACCATCCTCATGTGGGTGTGACTCATAGGTTTTCTTTTTTAAAGCCAGGAGAGACAGTTCAGCTCATCCAACTTGACCTCCTGCATACGCTGATTCTAGAATTTCACCCCAGTCGTTCTCCCATTGAACCTAATAACCTGTGATTGAACCCTCTGAGATTGTGAGCCTTAGCAGGTTTAAATAGGAGTGAGTGGTTTAAGGAGGCTGCCTGTCTGGCCTATGACGGTCTTGTTGGTCTGTTGGCTGATGACCCTGCGTTAGAATTTTCAACTGGTGCAGGCTTGTATCCGTGCCTGATGGGAGCTGCATTTGCTGGTGGGGTGCACGTACTTGACATTTAGATGTGCACGTGCCACCCATGGTCTGCCTGCTTCCTAACTCTCTCTTGCCTGCACTGTGCCAGGTCCAGCTGCAGCTGCTGACTGCCATTGTGAAGCTCTTCCTAAAGAAGCCCACTGAGACCCAGGAGCTGGTGCAGCAGGTGCTGAGCCTGGCTACTCAGGTGTGTAACAAGCTCTTGACCATGAGAAAGGGGCACTTCGCTTTCTGGGGTTTGCCCACCACCTCTAAAGCCAGCAATGCTTTCGGACCCACGTTTATGGAGATTGTGGGGCTTGCTGTGTCAGAATGGGGAACAGCCTGGGCTATCCTGTTACAGAATAGAGAGGGGCAAATAGTGGGATGACTAGATAGAGGGAATCCCCAGCCATTTACCTATGCTCCAGAACCAGATGATGATAGTACAGATTATTCTAGAGAGCAGGTCTGCTGACCGGTCTCTGGACTCTTGAAAGCAATGGAACAACCGTGTGATTACCACACAGCTACATTTGATCAAACTTGTCCTGGTGCCAATATAGTGGGAGATCTCTAGGCTGCCAATTACAGTCCTACTTCCCAGGGCTGCCTGGACTATAAAATCCCTCCAGCAGTAGGCCTTAGCCTTTGAGGGGGGTGGATGATTGGACGGTACTGAAGAACCACTGGGCATGGCTGTGAGGTAGCGGTAATGAATTTACATGGGGTGGTGCTAGCATAATGAATCTTAATATTGCACCTTATTAATAATAATAATAATAATCTTAATTGCACCTCAGTATTTGTTGTTTTTACCCTCCGAGGACCCCTCTTCTGTTCTACACCCCCACAAAGAAAACATCAATCCCTTATTTTCTCACTGAGTTGAGCCTACTGATGTCGGCTCTGACGCTGTAAACCCTTTGATCAGACTGCCCCAATAAGAGCTTCATGCTCAATGACCTTCTGAGAGACAGAGACTAGAGCATTGTTCTGAATCATGGTAGGATTACTGGAGGAGAGCTAGTGTGAGCAGCACACATTTGCCTTTTCACCTCGTTGAGTCTCTTCATTTTTCAGAGGATGAAGTGCTCCTTCCAGCAGGAGAGGCAGAGCCAGGGCTTGTCCTTCACAGGGAATCAGTGGAATTAAAGGGAAGACTGGTGTGATAACTGCTATGAAATGTTCAGCAACTATCCAGGGGCAGCAGTAAAGTGCACTGACTCCCAGAGCGGGATGCTCACTCAGTCCCTCGCCGCATGCTTGCCAGCGTAGACTGTCACTTACTGTGTGCTTGGACCCCACTGTGCTAGATGTTATAGAGTCTGATTGTTGCCTTTAGGTGCTACTGCAGTAGAAATGTTTAAACATGGATCCATGTTTAGGGCCTTACCAAATTCAGGGTCCATTTTGGTCAATTTCACAGTCATATGATTTTAAAAACCATAAATTTCACGATTTCAGTTATTTGAATCTGAAATTTCATGGTGTTGTAATTGCGGGGATCCGGACCCAAAAAGGAGTTGGGGGGGTCACGAGGTTATTGTAAGGGGCTGTGTGCGGTACTGCTACCCTTCCTTCTGCGCTGCTGCCTGCAGAGCTGGGGAGCCGGGGAGCAGCGGCTGCTGGCCGGGAGCCCCGCTCTGAAGGCAGAGGCACCCCCAGCAGCAGGGCCGAAGGAAGCGTGGCCTGGTCTGGGATTGCCACCCTTCCTTCTGCGCTGCTGCCTGCGGAGCTGGGCCCTCAGTCAGCAGCCGCTGCTCTCCGGCCGCCCAGCCCTGCAGGCAGCAGGGCAGAAGGAAGCGTGGCCTGGTCTGGGATTGCCACCCTTCCTTCTGTGCAGCTACTGGCAGTGCATTGCTTCCAGAGGAGGGTGCCCGGCCAACAGCCTCTGCTCTCTGGCCAGCCAGTCCTGACGGCAGTGCAGAAGTAAGAGTGGCAATACCGTGACTCCCCTTTAAAATAACCTGGTGACCCCCCTGCAACTCCCTTTTGGGTCAGGACCTCCAATTTGCGAAATGCTGGTCTCCCCCATGAAATCTGTATAGTACAAGGTAAAAGCACACAAAAGACCAGATTTCACGGTCTGTGCCGTGGTCTTCATGGCTGTGAATTTGGTAGGGCCCTAATCATGTTAGTTGGAAGGGCTTTATGGAAGCAGACGCAGGGTTTTCTTGGCTAGTTTTACGTGTATGATGGGGATAGCTTAGAAACCTCTCTACATGCAATTAAATTCTTTGGAGATTATAATTTGTGCTAAATACGTCACTAATTAAACCTTTCAAAGCTTTCCAGTAACTCTCAGTTTTGATCTCCTCTTGAGCCCATTTTGCTCTCTGCTGCAGCCTTACCACAAAACTGCTTGCGACCAGACTTAAGAACAGGGAGGAGAGCTGCCTGTCTTTCTCTATCCCGTGTCGTTTCCCCACTAAAGAACACGCACCAAAACGCTTACATCCTGCAGCATGTGTACAACTGGAAGGCACAGCAGAGTTGATTGTGTTTTCTATTCTGCCTCCATTCCCTGACCAAATGCCTGCAGCAGGATTTATGTCGGGGCAGTTGGCCTCTGCCCTGGAGGGACATTATTAATGCTGCTTCCTAGGCCAGCGAGTAGTCTGTATCCTCTTCCCCGGCTAGATTCGGCCAGCCCATGAATTGTTTTAATTGCTGCATTTCCCAAAGGACTCTGATAATCCAGACCTGCGGGACCGTGGCTACATCTACTGGCGTCTGCTCTCCACTGATCCTGTAGCTGCCAAGGAAGTGGTGCTGGCAGAGAAGCCCCTCATCTCCGAGGAGACGGATCTGATTGAGCCGACCCTGCTGGATGAGCTGATCTGTTACATTGGCACGCTGGCCTCTGTCTATCATAAGCCTCCCAGTGCCTTCGTGGAGGGGAGCAGAGGCATTGCGCACAAGAGCTTGCCTCCGCGGACAGGGTCGTGAGTACCTGCCATCTCTAGCGGCAGCTAGCCGCCTCTTTCCGTTCCGTCTGTTGACTGTATCTGACCCCTGCAGGCTCTGCCTGGAAACTGCCAGCACTTGTTCAATTAGGCTGAGCAGTGCTGAGCCACACTCAGTCCCCCCCCGCCCCCCCCCCCCCAATGGTGGGCTTTGCCATGGGGCCAAGTTACCCCTCCATGTTCTCAGCAGTACATGAGCCCCTTGCAGGGTCTGCAGAGGCCACTGATGATCTCGGCATTGAACTGAAGATCTTTGAGGTGCCGTCTGGTGTTGGCTTCTGGTGCATGGCTTATGTCTCTCCACTGGGGAGAGATTCCCCTTGCAGTAGTAAGTCAGCATAGATTGAAGTAAGTGGCCCCCTTTAGATCCAGTGTTCAGGGTACACTTGCGAGTGGAAGACAAGTCTCTCTCTGATCGGTGTAATAATGCTGAAATATTGGCCCTCTGGCTTGGGTTGGCTCTGGCTGGGAGAGAATGTCTCTCAATATTCCTTGCCCTGGCCCGTTGGAATGAAATATATTCCTTCTACAGTGAGGCACGATGTCTGTTAGGTCACCCAGATCTCCCTATGGTGTCACATGTTTCACCTTCTCTAACTCCCTCTGCAGGAGTGAAAGTGCAGAGAGCCCTGATGCAGCCCCATCAGGAGCCCCACCTTCAGAACAACCAGCTGTCATCCCAACTCAGGGTGACCTCCTTGGTGACCTTCTGAACCTTGACCTGGGCCCTCCAGTGAGCGGACCTCCTGTTGCTACATCCTCTGTGCAGATGGGGGCTGTGGATCTTCTTGGAGGTGGCTTGGACAGCTTGGTAGGTCATGGGTCTGCATGCTTGATTTCTAATAGACAGTGCGTTGGTTGTGAATCCAGGTATGTCCCTCGCTGACAGCTGTGCTCATCTGTTGTCTGGCTGTGTTAATAACCTAGACCGCTATGGAGCATCCTGCTAATGGTGCACTAGGCTCCCATCATAACCTTAATGGTGAATCCAGGCCCACGTAGTGCATACCTTCCATTCCAGTTGTATGTGCTCTAGCCTAGGTTCTTACCATCTTGAGGCTGGGATTTGGACTTCGAGCACACACAGCTTAATGGGAAGCAGTGGACACAGCATGGTCTGGCTTCCCATTACGGGCACACTTTCCCAGCAAGGCTGGAAATCGCTGACCTAGGCAGTCAGTATGTTGGCAGGGCACCCAGCACGAGATGCTTGGGAGTTGTTGGAGAGCCAGGCTGATGTCAAAATGGAATGCTGCCTTGTCATGAAAAGCGGCTGGATTCCAGAGTTTCCTCTGAACTATAGGCCTGTTACTGGTCTGGCGTAGGGGCTGCTCATCTCTTCGTTCTGTCACTAGCAATCAGGTGCCATGGTAGTCCCTCCCTGACGTGGGAGGAAGGTCCCAGAAGGTTTGTAGTAGCCTGTTTGTGAGCTGAAAAAATCAGTAACCAGAGAAATAACTGGTGGTCTGCTAGGGGTCCTGGAAAGGGGTATAGATGTGGCCCAAGTAACAAGTCAGAACTGTTTGCTCAGGTTCCTGGGCTGGTGTCAGCAAAGTAGGGTATCCGTGTAGACACACCAGAGGAGGGCTCTGCTCGTAGGTGCTCTAAGCTGGCAGGAACCTGTGGTGTCATCCAAGATGCTGGTTCCAAAGCTAAAAAGCACCAGCCAACATGGCACCTCCCTGCCTCTGTTCGTGTCCTGGGGTAGGGGCTCTCTGGGCACCTGTTGACTCCAGTGTTTGTGGCCCTCTGAATACTAATGCCAGTCGGACGTACTGAGTGGCAATGAAGTTGGACTAATTTCTGTTCCTTCCCTCCCTCCCCTTCTCTTGTCTCCCTGTTTGTCTGTCTCTCTTCTCTCCTGGCTTGTGTCTCTGTGCATGTGGCTGGCTCTTCTCTTCACCTTGCCTGCTTCTGCTTGGAGATGGGGGACGAGTCTGAAGGGGTATGGATCAGCCCTTTTTACTAGCTCTCTGGAATATAGCTAGCCAACCTCCCGTGTCCTCCCCTCACCCATCCCTGCTCCCTGTCACTGTAGCATAGAAGGAACAGCTGGAGATTGTGAACCTACTATCGTGCCTAGAGTGGGGTGTGAAGAAATGCCATCAGTTTGGTGCAAGGCCATCAGACCCATGTTTCATATAGTGCTGTCCCACTCAAATTGTATCCAACCATCTTAGACCCTTTGGGACTCCCACTGGGCTCCCACCTGCGCCGGCCCCCAGTACCCCACCTCCAAGACAGCAGAGGAGAGAGGAACTTTGTTCTATAAGTAGTGTCAGTGAACTCCCCATCTCTTCTAAACTATCAGTCTCTCAGGCTGTCTCTGTCCTTGTCTGCTCTTGGTTGATGTGTATGATGCTTAGCTTGTTAGATGCTGGGGAAAAAGAGCAGATCTGAAGCACAGTGAAATAACAGATGCGTCCCAGTGCCTCGAAGCCACAGGGCCTGCTAAGCGGTCTTGGAACAGTTCCTGACCCCACCCTTTGTCCAGTGCTTTTTAAAGAGCCGTTGGTAAAATGGGTCATGGCTGCGTGTGCTGGAGATCCCCCATCTGGCCTGCTTTTTATTCACCTGCCACTGCTCTCAGTGATGTTCCTGTTTCTTGTCTCTTTGCAGCTGAGAAGCGATGTAGGAGGCAGTCCTGCAGTGAGTGTGCATCTTCCATGTTTACCAGTCTGTCGCATTTTGCACCTTCCTTTTTGTTCTCTCGTTTCTTTCATGGCACCCAGAGTAACTGGCTTCCTTGCTTCATACAGATGAGTGGTACTACCTTTACAGCTCCCAGCACGGTGATGCCTGCAAACCTCGGGCCGCCCCCCAGCAGTGGCTTGGGAGACCTCTTTGATCTGGCCGGTGGCGTGGGCACACTGTCAGGATCCCATGTGGCACCCAAAACTGTGAGTGGCCCTGCCTGTACTGATCTCCCACCCAAGGCTTTGTCTCTAGCTATCTGGGCTCTAACATTGCCAGGCCGTATGGACTGCTGCTGTTAAAGATCAACATGGGGTGGGGATCCATGGGCAAGCTTTAAGCTGCCCCAAGCTGGTAGAATTTGGGGATGCCCCAGGAAGGTGGTGAAGTGTAAATCCTCAGGTGAAATTTTGGCGCGTCGTGTCCTGCCTAGTGACACATGGAGGATTTTCAAGGGTGACACATACGTTTAATGTGTCTTAGATATCCTCTCTGTGTCCAGGTGGGTAAGTCTATTAACAGGGCGCCTTCCTGCCCTAGGACTGCTGGTGGTGGGATGGTCCCCCTTTGAGGAGGGGCTGCCACTTGTTAGGCCTCAGAGTGAAGGAGAGAATGAGGGCTGATCCCAGAGAGACCTTCGTCCCTAGAAACCTGAGCCTATCTGTGCATAGAGGCAGCACTAGTGAGCTTGCCTGTGTTCTCACCTGCAGTCCCTTGCAGGGATTCACATCCCGGCCCACATTAATGACTCCTTCCAAGAGCCAGTCAGTGTACTGGGAAGATGTGACGAAAAGGGCCTGCATCCCCATGGGCTAGAAAGCGCCTGTTCCTTCACAGTGAGGTCACGTGCATGTCTGGTATGTTCCCTGCCTTTGTGAGCTGGAGGAAAGCCAGGGAATCTTGATTTTAAAATCCTTAACTTCCTACCTGTAGCAGTAAAATGTTAGACTTACAGGTAGACTGTCTGACTCTGTGCTGTCAGGAGCTCCTGCTGTTGAGACCTGGACTCCTAAGTCCAGTTTGGCTCCTCTATGATAGCCAGTTCACCTTGTGTTTCAGATAAGGTCAAAATCATCTTCTTCTGTCTTCACATAATGTAGGTCTGGCTCCCAGCCATGAAGGCCAAGGGCCTGGAGATTTCTGGCACATTCAGCCGCCAGGTGGGCGCCATCTCCATGGATCTCTTACTAACTAACAAGGCCTTGCAGGTCATGTCTGACTTTGCCATCCAGTTCAACCGTAACAGGTAAAATACCTGCTGGGCTGCTAGTGCAGCATGCTATGCATCAGGTGATCTCAGGGGTCTGCTCAGCTTGGGGAGGGATGCTGTCTTTGGCAGTGTGGAATATGGTTGGAAGCAAGGGGTGAGCTGTCTCCAGAGCTCCTGTTGGCACATTCATTTGGGAGCACAGTTGATTGAACTTGGCAGTGGCATAACCTATAAGCCCCTGGCCTGGCAGGTGGGTCTATTGCTAGTTCTGGAAGATCGGTGTTGCTGAACCAACCATATGCTCATGAGATCTAGGCTCAGAAAAGACCTTAGGCAAGCTCTGGCAAGAGAAGTGCGGGTATGTGCCCTGGATGCTGTCGGGGGAGAAAGGGCCATGTGCACTGCACATGGCATATCTCCTGCTGACCAGCACCTGTGACTTTACAGCCTGTCCTCTTGGGGTAGGAGGCAATGGTGGATGTGTGTAGGGAACGGGCAAAGGGCAGTGATAGCGCTAAAAATTACTGTGGGCCTGTCTAGACACACACATAATTTGCTGCGAGTGGGGGGTGTAAATCTACCCTGCACTAGCCTGCTGCTGCGCACTAACGGCTCCGTTGTTCACTTTGGTGTGTACTCACGTTTCAAAGTGGAGTAGGTCTGTGGTGAGCTCTGATCTACCCCGCTTTGAAGTGGGAGCAGATCAAAACGAAAAATGGGACTTTTAGTGTGCTGCAACAGGGTCCATGTGGACACTTAGAGCACGGTAGGCTAGGGCAGAGTAGATCTACGCCCCAGCTTGTTACGAACGAAGTGTTCCTTTAGACAGGAAGGAAAACCAGTGACCACGTGTCCACCAACCTCTGGGAAGCAGAGCCTGAGTTTTCCCTTCAGTCATTCTAGGGCTATCCCTGCTCCTCTTGCCTTACAGCCTGGGGGAGTCCAACCCTCGAGGGAAGCTAACCCTCAGAGGCATCTTGGTGCTCAGCAGAAGGTCAGGCTGGACAAGCAGTAGAAGGACGTGGCTGTGGAGCCAGAGGGCAGGGGTGGCCACATAAAGCCAGGGCAGATAGGGCGTCCTGTAGTCCCATCAAGGTAGGAACAGCCTCCCGTGATGATCCTTCTCTCCCTGAGTGCCCATGGTGATGAGTAAACCTGAGCCTCTAAGAAGTTGACTGAAGAGGCTGATCCTCAGTTAAGAACAGAGATTGAATGAGGCCTCCACCCCCGTTGCTGGTAACGGGTCCTCCTCGTTAACCGTGTGTCTTCCTGCTAAGCTGAATAGCGCTCCCTGTGTGTTCAAAGGAGCGAAAGGCACTCCAGCCCCAGCTCACAGGGGTGGCTGAGGGCTGTGGAGTTGTCCCTACTAGCATCATAAAGGCCTAAAACGTAAGATTCTGAGGCCATTTGAGACCCAGCATGAGGTTGCTTAGAAATAAAGATGCAGGGTCTCCAGGCTTGGATACTTGCCAATGCCCCATACCCACCATGGTTGAGATGTAACGGGTTTGAATCAACAACCTGTGATGGTCAGACATGCCATGCTCTGCTTTGACTGTGGATGATCTGGTGTGTGGCTGTTGAACGTGCTGCTCCATAGTTTGGGAGGAGGATTTGAATGAAGCGTGTGTGAGAGGTAGTGATGCCACGTGAGTGCCCAGCATAGGCAGAGAGAGGAAGGAAGGAGTTGCGGAGTGGGAGCAGACAGACTATCGGTGTGGTTTAGTGTCCCTGAGCACATCACAGGCTGGAATTGCGCAGGCCAAGCTGCCACACTGCCAGATCAGCAAGGTGGAAATACTTACAAGTTGGTGTGTCCACCATCCAGGGAAGGAGATTTGACACGTGCTGCCATTAGCATCCTCCCACCACCTGGCAGGAAACTTAGAACAAGCAACAGAAATCCTAGCAGCTCCCTCTCTCTTTCCACTAACCCACCTACTCTCTTTGGGTGTCCCCACAGCTTCGGCCTGGCACCAGCTGCTCCTCTTCAGATCCACGCCCCTCTTGCTCCCAACCAGACTGTGGAGATCTCCCTCCCTCTGAACACAGTTGGCTCTGTCATGAAGATGGATCCTCTCAACAACCTCCAGGTGAGGCTGTATGGAGGAGGCAGCTGAAAGCACACAAGTGTCGTTAGTGGACCAGTCTAAATGGCACAGTGAGGATGGGAAGGGCAAGGAGAGCCACAGTGGAGAATCTGAAACTCGTACCAGCAGCTGTGCATGTAGGGACTGGCCAGTCCTCTGAGGGAGCTGGACTCTACAGATGGAGTTTAGTTGGGGGAGCAGGAAGGGAAGCTGAGGTGAAATGGATAATGCCAGAATATTGAGATGGGACATGGAGAGATGCACTATTTCCTTGATGCCTTCTCTCTTTCTCCGGGAAAAGGGAAACCTCGTTCTGGTCCAGTGTCGAGCTCTGACGCAGGCCTGGTTTCTCTGCTTACAGAACAGGGAGCCCTTTTCAGCATATGGCTAGGCCAAGAGATGCCACTGAATACACTCTCCCAGCTTCACAGCGTGCTAGCTCAGTACCCATGCTTGGCCTGAGGAAGGAGACGCAACTGATCTTTCTGCTCCAGCTAGTGAGTGGGAATGGGGTCTAAGAGGAGGATAATTACAGTGGAGCGTAAGATTGTAGGTTCGGGACTGGCTGCTGTTCTCGTTTTATCACTGTTCTGCTCTTCAGTTAAATAATGCTGGCAGTACTTAGCCACTGTGAGCACATTGCAACCAGTTTAACTCTTTGCCTAGAAGATTAAAGGCTGGGATTGGAACTCAGGAGTTCTTGGTTCCCAGCCCTGTGCTGATTCCACTAGACACTGTGCCTTGCATCAGATACATCAGTACATGTCATGTCGGATTTCACCTGTGAACCGCCTTCCTGGGCTAGATCAGGAAGAAAAGCTAACACCCTTTGTCCCCTTGGTACCAGGTTGCAGTGAAGAACAACATTGATGTGTTCTACTTCAGCACCTTGTACCCACTGCACATCCTCTTTGTGGAAGATGGGAAGATGGGTGAGTTGATGGGATTCTCTATCCTGGAGTTGGTGGCGGAGATAGCCAGACAGGGTGTGGGTGAGTGAGTAAATGGAAGAGGGGAGGTAGTATAAGAACTCCTATAGGCAGTTCAGAAATGTTGCCTGTATAGATGCAATTCCACCGTTGGTCCTTGGATGATCCTGTGTCCTATTCAGATGGAATCCTTACTGTGTGGTATTTCTAGCCCTGTAGTTCATGACTCTTGGAACTCCTTTTAAGAGAAATGAGAATGAATCTGGGAATGTCACACCGCAGGGCTGAGCTCTGATGAACAGGATGGGAGACATCAAAGCCGGGTTAACCTCTGCCTTAGTAAGCCTGGAGTGGGGGCTGAATTGCTCCTTATCAAGCTGTTAGTCCTCACTGCTTTTCTCTTCCACCGCTTTCCACAGCAGGGCTTGGGAAAGGACTGGAGACCGTTACTGAGCATAACTAGAGCCAAGCCCCACTTTCATCTGATTCTGACCCTTCTAGGAGTCCTCTAGAATGCGACTTTCGCTAGCGTGCGCGTATATGAAAAATATACACGTGCGCACGGACACCTGTCTACACAAGACACGACCACCAGCCTTAATTTTGCAGCAAGTCTGTAGTAGAACAGTGCAAAATTTAGCTGTTTTCCAGTACAGTTCTGCCCCCATTGTTCAAAGCCTTGATCATACAGTCATGTTTTTCTTGTATCCATTGCTATTTTTCTTCTCATTAAATACTTTAAACAGGGCTGGACTATGCTTTGGTAGTTCATTTGGTTTAGTTTAATTAAAGCCACTTTATTCTGAATGGGTGCCCACACAGGGGTTTAACGCAGTTTAGCTAAACCACTTTCAATTCCAACCTTTAGTTAATCTGGATTAATTTTCCAAGTGTCCCCATGTAGACAAGTCCTAAGGGAATAAAGTACTGATGCTGACCACCTTCCACAGATTGCTGGAGGCTGCTCCCTGTGGGTGTCTGTGGGAAGGAGGGGAGCCCGTCTTTAACGGGCTTGGGCAGAGTTGTTTGTCCAGAGTTGATGTGCAAGTGAGGTGGCTAATCCCCCAGGGTTCACGCCGGTTACCTACTTGTGTCTCCTCCTCCAGAGCGGCAGATGTTCCTGGCCACCTGGAAGGACATTCCAAATGAGAATGAAGCCCAGTTCCACATCAAAGATTGTCCTCTCAGTGCAGGTGAGTTCCTGTAGTTCAGCTCTTTCAAAACGGGGCCCGATCTCATTTTAGTGTTGAGTTGGTTTGGGCTGTGCCTAGTGTCTGCAGGCTGTAGAAACCTTTCGGCTGGAATAATCCACCTCTGCAGCGCCAAAAGCAACACTTTTCAAAGGCAGCACCAATACCCCGACCCTCTGGCTCTGATTTCCTCTGGAGTGACAGCAGGTCCTGCCAAGCAGAGGTGGCTTGACTTGATTAAGAGTCAGTGGAGTAGATCACTGCTTTGTAATGCGCCTATGGAGCCCTGTCCAACCAGGGTGCTCATTGAATGCTCCAGTGCCACCCCTTCCTGCAGAGAGGTTGTGGGCAAACACGTCCCTGCCATCTTAGTTACTCCCTGCTGCCCGCTGATGTTCTCTTTCTTAGCGACCCATTAGTGCCTGAATGGCCTTCCCTCGCCAAAGCAGAGCCCATTAATTGCTCCGTAGTGCTGTCGAAGAGTTCTGGATCAGATAAACTCCTGCTGTGTAATCAGAGAGCAATTCTCCTCTCATTTCAGTTCCTCCCACACCTCCTTCTCCCCTTGTTTCCAAGCAACTGTGGCTGCCTTGACTGGCTGGGATTGTTAGTCCTGTTTTCTGCCTGGGGTCAGATGTCAGGTTTGAGACCGTAGGAATCAAGAGGGTGGAAAACCAATGCAGACCAAATCCGTTTGTCCCAGCTGCTTGTCCCAGTGCAGCACAATGTTCTGACCTTTAAGAAACAAGGTAGAGGAGACTGAGTGGCTGAGAGACTCGGTAACAAGATACAGAGCTCCTGCTTCGATTGCTTGTTCACGTCCATAGGTGGGCGTGCGCCACTGTAGCTCCCTGCACCGGGCCCCAGACAGCAGGGACCCTCAGGGGAGCTGGCAACCCCAATGGGGGCCACTAGGGCATTGGCCCTTCTGGACCCCCTGGGCCTATCAAGAGTGCCAAGGGGCCCCATCCAGGGCAAGTCACTCGGTGCAGCGTTCCCGGTCCCCGCATCGATGCCAGACGGTGCCAGAGACTGTAGTATCCAGGCCTCCAGCATCCCCCCAGCATAGACCAGAGACAGGCACCGAGCACAGGGAAAGGGACTCCCGCCCTGGCCTGAGCCAGAGGCCCCTCCCGTGGAAGAAGGGGAGCAGGAGGACCAACCAGAGCGGGTCGAGCAGCAGCTAACCTCCCCATCTTCCCCCGATGAGGCGGTGGTGGGTACAGAGGTGTCCGTTCCTCCGCCGACAGACCATCGAGCCCACCAGGAATTGCTGCGCAGGGTCGCCCAAAACTTGGGGTTGCAGGCCGAGGAGACGGTTGAGCAGGAGAACCCCATGGTGGACATTTTGAGCCCCAAAGGTCCATCCAGAATAGCGCTCCTGCTCATTAAGACCATTCAGTCTAACTATAAGATTATATGGCAGACCCCGGCCTCCAACAGCCAAAGGTGTGGAGCGTAAATACTTTGCCCCATCTAAGGGCTATGAGTTCCTGTTCTGTCACCCGAGTCCATGCTCCCTGCTGGTCTCGGCGGTGAACGAAAGGGAGCGCCATGGACAGCAGGCCCCGGCCCCTGAGGCGAAGGAGGCGAAACGCCTGGACCTTTTTGGTAGAAAGGTGTACTCTTTGGGGGGCCTTCAGTTGAGGATTGCGAACCAGCAGGCCATCCTCAACAGGCACAATTTCAAATCCAGGGCAGCGGTGGGGAAGTTTAAGGACAGCCTCCCACAAGGTTCCCAAAAGGAGTTCACGGCCCTGGTGGACGAGGGCAAGGCAGTAGCCAAGACCTCTCTCCAAGCCTCCCTGGATTCGGCAGACGCAGCGGCTAGGACAATCGGGGTGGTCATGAGGCGCTCGGCATGGCTCCAGGAGTCAGGCCTGCCGCCCGAGGTCCAGAATACACTCCAGGACCTCCACTTCGAAGGGTCCGGACTCTTCTCAGACCAGATAGACGCGAGGCTGCACAGCCTAAAGGACTCGCGAGCTACGCTTAAGTTGCTGGGTATGCACACCCCGGCGACCCAGAGGAAGCCCTTTAAGCTGCAGCATCCCACTCAATGCCAGTACCAGCCTTGCCGTAGGCATGAGCCTTACTGTAGGCGAGGCAGGGATAAGAGGCGACGGCGCAACAATGCGCCAGGCCAGAACCAAGGCCAGCACAAACCCCAGCCGGGCACTAAGCCAGGCTTTTGAAGGTGCGCTTGAGGACAGCGTACCAGACCAGTCACTGGATCCATCCCTTTGTTTCCTGAACCGCCTGTCCGTCTCCCGTGTGTGGTCCACCATTACATCAGACCGTTGGGTCTTATGTATGGTGCGGAACGGGTACTCGCCTCCCTCCCACCCCCCTTCCCTGTCCCTCTTCAGGGACCCCCTCACTCTAGAGAAGGAAGTCCACTCGCCGGTAGAGGCGGTGCCACACAGCCTAAGGGGGAAGGGGTTCTACTCCCGGTACTTCCTCATCCCCAAGGCCAAAGGGGGCCTTCACCCCATCCTAGACCTGCGCGGGCTCAACAATTTCCTTGTCAAGGCCCAGTTCTGCATGGTCTCTCTGGGCACCATCATCCCTTCCCTGGATCCGGGAGACTGGTATGCTGCCCTCGACATGAAGGACTCATGCTTTCATATCGCCGTCCACGCAGCACGTTGGCGGTTCCTACGCTTCACCATGGGCCGAGAACATTACCACTTTGCAGTTCTCCCGTTCGGACTAGCTGTGGCCCCAAGGGTGTTCACGAAGTGCATGGCGGTGGTTTCGGCCTTCTTACGGAGGCAAAGAATCCGGGTGTACCTGTACCTTGACGACTGGCTCCTGGTGGGCCGATCTGAGGCGGAAGTGCGGGGCCATGTGAAGATGGCCCTGAGGTTGTTCCACGAGCTGGGGCTCCTGGTCAATGTCCCCAAGTCCACGCTCGTCCCCACGCAGAGAGTGGAATTCAGAGGGGCGGTCCTGGACGCGCTGCAGGCCAGGGCAAGCCTTCCGGTGTCCCGATTCTGGGCTATCCAGCAAGCGGTCACCTCCCTGCGCCAGTTTCCAACGACAATGGCCAGGTGCTGCCTGCGGCTGCTGGGCCACATGGCAGCATGCACGCACGTGGTCAGGCAGGCCAGACTGAGACTCAGGACTCTGCAGGTGTGGCTCGCTCGGGTGTACCGCCCAGGCAGGGCCCCCCTGGACTTGGTAGTGACAGCCCCAAGGGACGTGCTGGACTCCCTGCTGTCCAAGCCTGTGGTTTGTGAAGGCATCCCCTTTGCCACCCCACAACCAGACCTGATGCTGGTGACGGACACGTCAGACCACGGATTGGGGGCTCACCTGGGGGACCTCATGACACAGGGGTTGTGGTCTGGAGCAGAGCGGTTGCTCCATATCAATGTGAAGGAGCTCAGGGCGGTTCGTCTCGCCTGCCAGACCTTTCACACCACTCTGAGTGGTCACAGCGTGACAGTTCTGACAGACAACACTCCTGCCATGTTTTATATAAACAAACAGGGCGGGGCTTGTTCCTCACCACTCTGTCACGAGGCTCTCCTCCTCTGGGACCTTTGCATAGCCCATGCAATTCACCTAGAGGCGTCCTCCCAGGGGTACGAAACGAGCTGGCGGACTCCCTCAGCAGGTCGTACCGCATGCACGAGTGGATGCTCAGGGTGGACGTTATGCTTTTGCCCTTCTGCAGGTGCGGGTTTCCCCGGGTAGACCTGTTTGCCATCAGGGCCAACACCCAGTGCCCGTGGTTCTGCTCATTCCAGGGTCACAGCCCGGGCTCGCTCCCAGACGCATTTGCGATCTCGTGGAGAGGGGGCTTGATGTATGCCTTCCCCCTACTCCCCTAGGTGCACAAGGTCCTACTTAAGGTGCACAGGGATAGGGCGGCGGTGATCCTCATCACCCCAGCCTGGGCCCGCCAGCACTGGTACATGTCGTTCTTAGAGCTGTCGGCGGAGGCCCCAGTAGTCCTACCCCTATACCGGGACCTCGTTACACAGGACGGCGGGCGGCTTCTCCATCCCAGCCTACAGTCACTGCACCTGGCTACGTGGAGGCTCTGTGGCTGAACACCCTGGAGAGCCAGCGCTCCCTTCCCGTGCAGCAGATTCTGCTTGGCAGTAGAAAGCCCTCTACCAGGACGGCCTATGTGGCCAAGTGAAGAACGTTCTCGTCTCGGTGTGAACCCCGACAGGTGCGGCCGTGCCAGGCCCCGGTGCAGGCCATCCTGGAGTATCTCCTGCACCTCAAGCAGCAGGGGCTGGCCCCGTCCTCACTCAGAGTGCACCTGGCGGCCATCTCCGCCTTCCATCCGGGGTTCTCGGGGGACTTGGTGTTTTGCCACCCAATGGTGGGACGGTTCCTTAAAGGGTTGGAGAGGGTGTTCCCGTACTCCCACCCACCAGTCCCTCCATGGAATCTTAACCTGGTCCTCTCTAAACTCATGGGACCCCCTTTCAAGCCCCTCGCTTCCTGTTCCCTCCTGGATCTTTCCTGGAAAGCGGCATTTCTGGTTGCTGTTACCTCGGCCAGAAGGGTGTCCGAACTGAGGGCCCTCACCTCTGAGCCACCGTACACAGTATTCACAAGGACAAGGTGCAGCTCCGGCCGCACCCCAAGTTCCTCCCTCAGGTGGTCTTCCAATTCCATTTGGGCCAGGACATTTGTCTGCCGGTTTTCTTCCCAAAACCCCATACGGACACAAGTCATTGCAGCTTGTACACCCTGGATGTGAGCGCACCGAGCCTTTTCGCAAATCCGCGCAGCTGTTTGTGTCTGTGGCCGAGACATTAAAAGGCCTCCCAGTGTTTGCGCAGCAGTCTTCGTCTCGGATTACAAGCTGCATCCGGGCGTGCCATGAGCTCGCAGGTGTTCCGGCCCCGGCAGTCACAGCCCACTCGACCAGGGCGCAGGCAACTTCCACGGCATTCCTGGCACAGGTCCTGATCCAGGAGATCTGCAGAGCAGCCACCTGGTCCTCAGTACACACCTTCACGACCCACTACACAGTCAACCAGCAGGCCAGAGAGGACGCAGCAGTTGGCAGAGCGGTCCTCCGAGCAGTTGTTCTGTGACTCCTCCCCTCCTCTAGAAGTAAGCTTGTGATTCACCTAATGTGGAATGGGGCCGTGAACAAGCACTGGAAGAATTAAAAACGGTTACTTACTTTCTCGTAACTGTTCTTCAAGATGTGGGGTTCACGTCCGTTCCACCACCCACCCTCCTTCCCTTCTGTCGGAGTCGCCGGCAAGAAGGAACTGGAGGGGATCGGGTCGACTCGGGGGGCCCCGCCGGCCCAACGGGAGCCCCTAAGGGAAAAGTTTCCGACACTCGTGCACACAGCGCGCGCACATCTAATGTGGGCTGGACGTGAACAGCACATCTCCAAGAACAACAGTTAGGAGGAAGTGAGTAACCATTTTATTTCACCTCTGAGCTGTTTATTGCAATCCAGTTTGGGACAGAAGTGAGCAAATGCTACTGCTGCTCAGTAATAGTTACCTGAAATGAGCTGCCCTTGCATTTGCCTAGGGGCTCATGCCTCTGTCACAAAAGCCATGAACCCCAGGTGGCGTTTAAATGGAGCCCTTGTCAGGGTGCTAGGAAATAGTGAATTGACCCTGTCTGTGGGAGGCCCAGCTAAGCTAGGCCCAGCTCCTCCCTTTAAGAGTCAGTATATGGCATAAGGATGCTGGCTTCAAGGGGAGCTCATCTCCACCAGCAGTTCCTTAACAGACTCCTGCTAAAGTCTCTGCTTCTTCCACCATAAGTCTGCAGTGAATGATACAGAGGATATTTTTATGTATGTAGTAGTGCTGTGGATTTGCTTGGACAGTATATTTGCCTATGAGTCACAAATGTGGGGGGGAGAAGGCTGGCTTACAAGCTGGGGGGAGCGGAGCAGCTGTTTTTGCAGCTTAGTGCCATGTGCTAAGAGAAACAGAACCCTGAATTTGGGTTTTGGCAGGTAAACGAGAGGAACAGCTTGTCACATACTTGGCTTTAAATTCAAAAACTTCACACAGACTCTTACTGATCTGGGATCTCAAACCTCTTTTAAGCAAGGTGTGTATGTTCCAGGCCTTCTAACCAGAAACAGCTGATTCCTGCAGCACACTGCATGGTGATATCCAGTTGACATAGTATTTCCAGTGCTCCTGTCCATATCCACTCAGCTGTGTCTGTCTGTCTGTCCACACAGATGCTGTTAGCAGCAAGCTTCAAGGCAGCAACATCTTCACCGTTGCCAAGAGGAACGTAGAGGGCCAAGACATGCTGTACCAATCTCTCAAACTGACCAATGGGATCTGGGTCCTGGCAGAGCTACGAATCCAACCCGGCAGTCCCAGTTTCGCTGTAAGACCAGCTCCTCCCTCCTGTTCCAAAATAGGCTAGCAAGTGGGGTTGCCAACATTGTATTTCAAAAATAAGGGACTGTTCTCTTAGCACTCCTGCCCCGCCCCACCTCCCAATATTATTAGTATTAATAACACTAAGAGGGACTCACCTCCGCTGTCCTGGGTTATTTCATACTACTTTATGCATCACTCAGCAACTCCCCATCTTGTTGGTCAGAGGTGAAGAAATAAGGGATGTGCCTTGTAGTTAGGGACCGTTGGCAGCCCTGCTAGTACCCCTCAAGACACCAGGCTTGTCCCCCCACCTCCTCTGCTTGGAAATCTGAATCGGGGCAAACTTTCTCTTTCAGTAAACGTTCCTCTGTGGTGGTGGGAGCCCCAGACACAGCAGCCTGGTGTTAGTGTGGGTGGTGTCCTTGGCCAGTCTGTCTCGTTGTTCAGATGGGTGATCTGCAGTGGCACTTCATTGAATCATAGAATCTCAGGGTTGGAAGGGTCCTCAGGAGGTCATCTCATCCAACCCCCTGCTCAAAGCAGGGCCAAACCCCAGTTTTTGCCCCAGATCCCTAAATGGCCCCCTCAAGGATTGAACTCACAACCCTGGGTTTAGCAGGCCAATGCTCAAACCACTGAGCTATAGCTCCTCATAAGCCACCTCCTGATAAGCAAGGAGTTAACTTGAGCTCAGCTTTCCCTGGCCCTTGTACAGGTGCCTCTTTGGAATGGGCTGTGAGCTGGCTGGTGGGAGAATGTCTTCAGGAAGACAGGACTCCTACTTGGGCCCATAGGACTGGAGTGAGCTGCAGGCTTGGAAGTTTTCTGTTCCCCTTTTTATTGTGTTAACTCTTTGATTTCTGGCTATAAGTATATACAGCGGAACCCTTCACTGACTGCACCAGCTGAGTTGTTTGACAGTTTATAGGGACACAGGATAAACGCTGGGGAAACGTATTAGATTAAATCATTTTTACTGTGTTAGTAACACAAGTAAAAAGAAAAGGAGGACTTGTGGCACCTTAGAGACTAACCAATTTATTTGAGCATAAGCTTTCGTGAGCTACAGCTCAATTCATCGGATGTAGGTCACGAAAGCTTATGCTCAAATAAATTGGTTAGTCTCTAAGGTGCCACAAGTACTCCTTTTCTTTTTGCGAATACAGACTAACACGGCTGTTACTCTGAAACCTAACACAAGTAAAGAAAATGCTTATTTTCATAGTGTTCCTTTAAATTCAGACTGATTCCTTTAAAAAAAAAAAAAAAAAAAAATTCCCTTGAGCATGCATCCTGGACAATAGAGAGAGCCAGACAACAGCAGCTGCAAAGAATAAACCCGAACGCTGATGATTGCAATTAGCCCTGCATGTACCTTGTCTGAGACATGAGTGCTCAGTCATCAGAATGTGATTTCCTGAGTTCTTTCAGCCAGCCCCAGCTGAAACTGGCTGCAGAGGTTCCCCTGGCAGTTTTTGTGTTCTGTTGTATTCTGATGAGCGCTCCGTTTGCATCTGGGCTCACATTTCTCTGTATGTTTTGTTGCTGCATGCCCACCGCTGGCCTGCCCCGATGTTGCAGGATTTGGAGGTTAGCAGAGTATTTTTCCCCCCCTTTTTTCGCTGTATACAGCTGCCCTCATCATTTCACCCCTGCTGTTCCCTCCCCCGTCCGCCTCATTTCATTTCTTTCCCTCGTTGCTGTTGCTGCCTCCGGCACACGCTGAGTAGCATGGGATGCCCTGGGGCTGCTGAGGCATGGTAGATCCAACCACAGAAGGAGCGTTTGGGAAGGGGGCTGGGGGAAGCGAGAACCACAGCTCTGAGAACGTGAAATGCCCCCCACACACACCCTCACACCCTTCTGGAAAATGCTAGCAAAGCATGGCTTGGCCCAGACTTTCAAAAGTGACTAGCCATTTTGGATGCTTAACTTGAGTAGCCTTAAAGGGGCCTGCATCTTAAGTGCCAAGCACCCACCCTCTGAATATCAGGCCCATTTTACGGTGTCTCCAGACGAATACCCCAAAATGGATGTACCCAAAATCACTAGTGACTTCTGAAAAACTTTGCCCTAATGACTGCACCGTGTGTCCAGCCCCCAAGTGGACCTTGCCAGTCGTGTTCTGGATTTCTCCTTTCCAGTTCGTTTCTGGTGTTAGGGACTAACTGAGCTCAAACCAAAGAGAACTGTGTACATTTAAATCTTATCTGGTAAGTAACTTCAAGGCATTAGTTTCAATTAAAGATGAGACATAACACTTCAGGTTCCTGCCCAGGTGAATAATGTATTAACAGACAACAATTCAAAGCCCCGAACAGGCAGAGGTAGGGAGTGTGCATGCATGCACGAGTGACTGTCTCTAGCTCAGTTGTGCTCCCTACAGCTTTTCTGCCTATAGATCACATGCATATGGCTTGCAAGGGACTCTGCCTCTCAACCTGCCCTGGGGAATGATGCTGGGTGAGGGAATGGATGGACGGGACCCAGATCGGAAAGGGAAGCAAGCGGGTGGTGATAAAAAATGTGGGAATCAACTTCTTTAGCCTAAATAACTTTGTCTCTAACCTTAGTCTCATGACTCAGTATCTCTGAAGTCAGTTTTACAACAACGAGGGGAGACGGCTGGTCTGTGTGGGATGGAGGTGAATTCTGGCCCATGGAACCCAAGGCCCGGTTGAGTGGCAGGGCATCGGAGGCTTGGCTTTGCTGCACATCCATAGCACCGAAAGCTTTCGAGCCTTTCTTCAAAGGCTTTGGATGACCATTCCACTAGGTCATGCTTCTCTTCACCCACCCCAAAACCTTTTGCTAGAGGTTCCAATCCAGTGCCCCAGTTACTAACTGCTGGTGAGTTGAAGGTGAGTGGCTCCCTTGCAGTGCTGAGTAAGCTGCCATTGAGTTGTTTCCCTCTTTCCGTGCAGCTGTCTCTGAAGTGCCGAGCGCCCGAGGTATCCCAGTATGTTTACCAAGCATATGAAACCATTCTGAAGAACTGAGGCACCCTCCTCCTCCTCCTCTCTCTCCCCCCGCATCCCAGATGAGGAAATGGGGACCAGAACCTGTGGGCATGTTTCTTCTTGACCTTGGAAGGAACAAATGCAAGATCAAGATACTCTGGAAACTTCAAACTGGCGTCCCCCGACGCTGAAAATGGTGTGAGCGGCAGTGCCTAGCATTCCATCTTCAGCTCTCTGGGGATGGGGTGGGAAGACGGGGGGCAGGGGGAGGGATCTTGTTGCAATTCAATGCATCAGTGGAGAATTTTTTCATGTGAAGTAATGCAGTGTCCTCTTTGCTGATGTTTCCCCTTTAAGAGCCCTGTTTTTTGCCCTTGTACTCTTACTGAAATTAAGAGCGTGCGTGAGACTCTGGGTGGGAAGGCAGTGCCCACTGAGTCTCATTACTATCTTCAAATCCATCTCCCCTGACCTTCCCAGACAAATAAATGAATTGACACTTTGGTGCTTAAATATGGCTTGTGCTACATCGCCAAGCCCAGCCCTGGGAAGTCAGTGGTGATGAGTCTCTTGCATTTGAACGCATGTATTGTCTGGTGAAGAATTCATTGCTAATAACCCCTCTTCTGATGGGATAGCTATGCTGAAGCACTGCTTCTTCCTCCTCCTTCCATGGTGACTTGTTGTTTGGGGTGGATTTGCTTCCAGTCCTGCTTGGGAAAAATCCAGAAGCATCACTTGTGCTGATCTGTGCTTAATGTGCCTCTGAGCCTCCCTTATTTCTAGGAGTGGACAATAAAAAGGGACTCTTTGCTGAAGCTTGGCACAAGTTCTCAGCCTGGGGGGGATTGTGGGAATTTGGGGGCAGGGGGTGGTGTAACAGGAGTAGGAAACGATTTGGGGCTCTTTGTCTCCGCAGATCGAGTTTTTTGTAACTTGCCGAAAGCTTTGTGTCTGCAGAGTGGACCGCTTCAAAGGCAGCTTGCTAATGATGAATCGTTGCCTTGAGTATTTTTTCAAGGCAGCAAATCTTCATTTAGACCTCTCCTTCCCCCTTTGAAATTTAACTGACCAAGGAACTTGCTTTTCTTTGTTCTGCGGATACAAGCTTCATTCCTTTCCCTCTGCAAGCCCTCAGGTTCCATAAGGGATGGTGCTGTTCCAGACCTGGTGCTCTTATACCCTGAAACAGAGAGAGCTTGGTAGATTTCATCTGCTCCTTTAAAAGGCTAGTTTGAGTTTACCCCCAAACACTGAGGTTCCCTTAAGCAGAGGGCTTGATCGCTTCCTAGGCTGTAGGGGTTTAACAGGAGTAATCTGTCTTGGAACAGAATAGCCCCTTTTCTTGCACTGCAACCCCCCATTCAGCATGTATTTCCTCAGTCTGGTTGGGATAGTCAAAAAACCTAGGGGGCTAGGTACCACTGGAAGTCACAATCTGTACCCACAACTGCTGTGAAGAGGGCTGTTACCATTTCTGGGGGACATAATGCACGCTCAGAATTAACACAAGGAAGGACAAAATACACACTGTTAGTATTAGGGCCACAGAGAGTCCATAGGAGATGGCTCTGAAGACTAATAAGGGATGTACCAAACCATATGCTAATATTCATTATAATCCTCCCATCACCATGGAATGCTGGTTCTTGAATTGAGCTTTCCAGGAAGGAGTTTCGTCATTTTTATGACTGGTTCGCTAACTGCCCTGGGACACATCAGGCTTCTGTTGCTGTCTCTGTGAGGCTCCCCCTCCTGTCTGTGTGCCGTTCCGATTCCTTAACCACAACAGCAGATGCGATCAGCCATCCAAACAAACTCACTCCCCATCACTGTTCTCAGTATAGGTTTTGGTGGGTTGGGAGTGGGTGGCATCTGCATTTTTGTGCCCTTAGGGCTCGTGTAACTCTCCTGTGCTCATCAGCTACAGCAATCCCAGCAGACCTGGGGCCCGGCTGTTTCTCTGCTGAGCATTTAAGGCTTTTCCTATTTGTTGCTGCTGTAGTGGGGAGGGAGGGGAAGGGGATACTGCCTTTGGAAATCAGTGACACTAATGTTTTTCCCCCTCCAGAAATAATAAAAGCAATTGACCGCCCTTAAATAGAAGTGTTTGGTGCGAGTTTTCAGATCCCTACAGTAAATATAGTGTGTGTGTGTGTGTGTATGTATATAGTATGTTTTACTTGTGTTTTAAAAGAAGTAACATTGAATAAAGGTGACATCTTCCCATCAATCTGCTCTGTGTAGAGGACAGGGTCAGGGAAATAGATGGCTCCGAGTGAGAGATGCTCCTTCTATGCTGGTCTCTGCTGTCTCTGATTGCTTGGTTGCTAAATTGCCTTGCTACTCACACACACTTCTTCCACCTCTGGCATCAGTTCAGCCCTTTCCCCTGAGTTTATTGCTGCTGATCAGCCATGTGGCCTGCAGGGGAGGAACTGTCCTATTGAGAAATCAGAGCAGGGTTCTGTCCCTTCCAGAAGAGCTTTATACAGGTGCATTTCCCCCCAGCAGGACCCCAAAAGGGTTGTTTGTTACTAAGTGGCAGCCAAGGATTCCAGCAGCTTGAGCGTCCTCAGGCTATGTCTACACTACAGCTGGATCGATGCACCGGGGGTCGATTTAGCGGGTCTACTAGACCCGCCAAATCGACCCCAGATCACTCTCCGGTCAACTCCGGTACTCCACCCCGAACGAGAAGAGTAAGGTAAGTCGACTGGAGAGTGTCTCCCATTGACCCAGCGTGGTGTAGACACCGCAGTAAGTCGACCTAAGTTACATCAACTCCAGCTATGTTTTTCATGTAGCTGGAATAGCGTAACTTAGGTTGACTTACTGCAGTAGTGTAGACATAGCCTCAGTGTGGTGTCTGGGCCAGCCTAAGATATTGGCCAGCAGGAGCTATTAAAACTTGATCAGCACTTTCCGCTCAGAGCAGAGACCACAGGGTGTTTTATGTATCTGAACCGTGTGAAGACTAGCTGATCACATCACTCCGCACTGGCTAGCCACAACTGGTGTCGCCCATATGGCCGTCAGCTCAGGTGGTCATTGGTATCCATGCCATCCTCTCTCTCTCTCTGTCAGCCACTGACCTGAAAATCCAACCCCCTTTCCATTACTGCAGCCTTGGACACCTGCTACTATTGCTTTTCAGTCTGTCTTTGAACTTCCTTCTGCTTGAAAGCCTGTGGAGGAGTATAGACAGCAATAATCTCCCCTTCACTGAATAGAGCAGGAGCCGATGCAACACACCCTTCTGAACACAAGAGGGAGCTCAGAAGTGGGAGTAGAGGAGAGAGTAAGCTGGGGAAAGCTGTTCCATTCCTCCTGTCCTAGTCTCAGGTATGTACTGCATTTACTCCTGTTCTCAACTCAAGTTGACGTGGAATCGCTTTCCCAGCCTCTGCTGTGTCTTCAGGGGAGTAAAAGCTTGTATACAGATACGGACTTTATCGCTCCAGGTGGTCCAAAGTGGTTGGGTTGGAGGTAATGGGGAGAAGGTCTGGACTCCCATAGTCCTGCCCACTTTCTCTCCCTATCCCTCACTGCTGTGTGTAGAATATGTAAATGCTAAGGGTAAAATCCATGCCTCATTGAAATCAATTGGGAGTTTTCCCATTCACCTCAGTGGGGCCAGGATTTTACCTTCAATATTTTAATATGGGACTACCAACAGATAAGCAGTCTCCTGTCCCAGTGTATTTGAAGAGTGGGTAAGGAAAGGTCTGCAACAGTCATTTACTCTCGGCATTGGTAGACTGAGCATCAGCTGCCGATGAATCCTGTGGAATAGAAAGAGCCAAGGCTGTAATGCCTTGTAAGAGAGCACTGCAGTGCAGCTGGAATGTGCTGCTTCGCTGAGCTATTAGCTGGGTATTGCTGAGGTCTCTTGAACTTCCTTGCTCCTATGGAAGCCAGCTCTGTTTACATCCCTGGAAGGAACAAGAAGCTGTAAAACGGTTGAGTGGAGTAGACTCTTAGGTCAGGATTGTGTGTTAATGGGCCAGTGGCCTCTGTCTTGGATGTTACAACAAGATTGTTGCTGAAGATTTCATTCTGTACTGAATCTGCCAAGCAGAGGAGTTTGTCACTGGCCATGGGACACGTCTCTTCCGCTGTGTCTTAACGCTTTGGCTTCCCCTTTGTCCACACAAACAGGACAAGAGGGGATTTGATTTAGTACACTAGTTTTGTGGTCGTTGTAGCAATCATTTGAAGTACACGGAGTTCAAAAGTATGCTGCTCAGATCCCAGTGTGACAGTTCAACCTGCTCCTGGCCCTCTGATCATCTAGCCTGTGTGGGGAGCCGAAGGACAGGCCTTTTATAATAGCTGGCTCTTACGGCACCCTTCATCCTAATAACACAAGAGTTTCCCAAAGGTGGTTAGTGCTGCTTTCACTTTCTCTGCCTTCTCGAACATAGCACATCCAACACTGGAATAGAGACACAGAGGTGAAGTGACTTGCAGTGATCACACAGCAAGTCCCTTCCTAGTCCTCTGCTCTATTAGACCTGCTACTGCCTCCTATCAGGGTAAAACTATCGAAACACCTGTTTGTTTGCTGCACTTGCTGAGGCTTAATGGCTCATCAGTCCCTTCCTTTGCCAGCGGCAAAGATTAATGCATTCTGCTGGTCTCTGCACTTGGGCTGGACCTGGCACTGTCTGTCACGCAGGTCACTGCTCTCCAATCTGTGCAATGACTGCCTATTTCTTCTTAACCATAATGGAGTTGGACAAATCCCTTCTCCCTGGCCTGCTGCTTTCACAGCTCCTCCCATGCCCAGTCTGACCGAGCTGCCTTCACCCCATGTAATCCATTGATAACACCAATTAAATTAAAAGGAGGCATTAGCCCTTTTGCCAGGGAGACGGAAGAACGGGGGGGGGGGGGGGTCAGGGGGCAGAAAGTATGCCACGGTGTTTGTTGTGGGTGTTTACCTGCTGACCTTCTATCTCCTATCCAATCGGCACAAGATTAGTTTACTCAGACCCAGTCTGAACACATGGTTGGCCCGGTTAAACTAACAGGGTAATGGGGTTTTTGTATGGCTTATACCTGGTTTATATCAGCTTAGCTAGTATCAGTAAATGCACAGGTACAAGTGAAGCGGAGAGAAGCCGTTCTAGACGGCTGTGAGAAAGGGCCTGCACAAAAAGTTGCACTAGTTTAACTAAACAGATTGAATTTAAGCCAGCACAGCCGCTTGTGGCTGAGCACTCGGTGATCATTTATCCCGGTGACAGCTGTATCTTAGCCTAATAACTCCTTGGTATTGGATCGCTGTATAATTCAATCCAGGCAACAGGTATGTGTAAAAACCACTCGGGAGCGTCCTTCCCCCGGGTCCGATCAGCTGTGAGGTAGTTGTGCCCAGAGGGATTCAAAATGACCCTGCCCTTGTAACTGGCTGCTGGGGAGGAAGAGGGGACTAGGAAGGTGGCTGCAAGTGCTCCCTGCCATCGCTGTAGCAGGCCCAGTGTCATGGGCAGGATGAGAACCAGGAGCTGGTTTGCTTTTCAGAGGCTCGTTCACCTGCACATCCACCAATGGATATATGCCATCATGTGCCAGCAATGCCCCTCTGCCATGTACATTGGTCAAACTGGACAGTCTCTACGTAAAAGAATAAATGGACACAAATCAGATGTCAAGAATTATAACATTCAAAAACCAGTCGGAGAACACTTCAATCTCTCTGGTCACGCGATTACAGACATGAAAGTTGCGATATTACAACAAAAAAACTTCAAATCCAGACTCCAGCGAGAGACTGTTGAATTGGAATTCATTTGCAAATTGGATACAATTAACTTAGGTTACCTTGCATGACTTAGCCACTCCCAGTCTCTATTCAAGCCTATTTCCCCTTGTTTTTTCCTCCCTCCCTCCCCCCCCCCATGTTCTTGTTAAACCCTGGATTTGTGCTGGAAATGGCCCACCTTGATTATCATACACATTGTAAGGAGAGTGATCACTTTAGATAAGCTCGTACCAGCAGGAGAGTGGGGTGGGGGGAGAGAAAACCTTTTGTAGTGATAAACACCCATTTTTTCATGCTTTGTGTATATAAAAACATCTTCTGTATTTTTCACAGTATGCATCCGATGAAGTGAGCTGTAGCTCACGAAAGCTTATGCTCAAATAAATTGGTTAGTCTCTAAGGTGCCACAAGTCCTCCTTTTCTTTTTGCGAATACAGACTAACACGGCTGTTCCTCTGAAACCTGTCAATAATGGCAGGTTTCTCTAAGGTGCCACAAGTCCTCCTTTTCTTTTTGCGAATACAGACTAACACGGCTGTTACCCTGAAAGGCTGTATAGAGTTCCAAGTTTCTGCATGAGCTAACTTGTGTTCCATCGGATTAGAGCCTAAATATGTCTGAATCAAAGCAGGGGGGATGGGGGCAGGCTGTAAGAGGCAACTCTGTAGAGGGAAGGGAGACGGAGGGGACTAGCCAGTTCTGTGCTTCAAGTTCTGTGATTTAGGACTTGCTGTGGCAGCTGTCTGTGGAGCACTGCACACGTTTCAGCGTGACCTGCTGCTGTTGGCTGCTTGGAGAGGAAAGATTGGTCTGGTGGGTAAGGCGCTGGCCTGGGGCCTGAATCTCTGTCCCTCAGTTCCTCATCTGTAAAAGGGGGGTGGTGATTTTCCCTTTGTCATGTCTGTTTAGACTATAAAGCCCTCAGGGCAGGGTTGTCTACGCAGCACCTTATCTCAGCTGGGACCTCCAGATGCTCCTAGAATACAAATAATTGATCCTGGCCTGGAGCATGAGGCGTGACTTGTCCTTAGGTTGACTTGTAAATCACTCTTGCTGAGCCTTTTATCCTGCAGGCAACTTTCTCTGTGCTGGGAGCCCTGTCCCCTTCATCCAAAGGCATGAAGGTCCCAGCAGTCCCAGATGACACCTTCTCTTTCTATTCACAGCCATCCTAACCCTCCATCTGTTGCAGAAGAGGAGCAGTATCCTCCCCATTAAGCCCATCAAAGGCTTTTAGTACTAAAGCAAAGTGCTACCTACCACTGTCCTCTGTTTCAGTGTGCTATGGCTCTTGTCTGTTGATCCCTTCTGCTGAGTAATTGAAGTAACTTATAAGTGGTGAAAAGAAAAGGAGTACTTGTGGCCACAAGTACTCCTTTTCTTTTTGCGAATACAGACTAACACGGCTGTTACTCTGAAACTTATAAGTGGTGGTCGTCTTGGTGACACTGGCTTCTTAGCTCATGGTGGAGAGACACCCTCTTGATGCAGAGTTATGTCAGTCATATGTTGGAAACCCCTCTCCTCACTAAGCAGGGCTTGCATTGCCCTCTAATTTTATAGATGGGGAAACTGAGGCACAAAGGAGGTCAGCCAATGAGTCAGTGGCAGAGCTAGGAATAGAACCCAGATCTCTTGGGATTTGGGGGTTAAAAAGACTCCTTTCTATTACTGCCCAATTGATTTTATTTTTTAGCATGCGACTAGAAATAGATCAAACCAGATTTGAAGTTGGCTACATTGAAAATGGTGTTTGTGCCCTTTTAAAATGCTGGGGGGGGGGAGCAGTGGCTAGAGCACAGGAAGCGTATTCTGAGAATTCCCCCTTCCCTTGGGGGATGCTCAGAAGCCAGGGCTGCTGCAGATATTCTCGAGGGTCAGCATCCCCAGGTTAGCTGATTGCTTCACAATGTGCCCTGAAGGGGGTGAGGCTGCCCCGGTCATGCTCTACTTTAAGGCGTGACTCACCGGTGGTGGTGGTGTGGGATGCTAACTGGGCTGTGAGATGGAAATCTCTAATTTTGTTTGTCAAACTCCAGCTGGCTGCTCTCCATCCTGCTTATGAAAAACTCTAATTAAATTCTAGTGGCTGTGATTGCGTCCCCGGGTGCACTGTGGGGCTGGATGGCAGCACTGCTCTCCTTTCGCACCCAGAGGACAGTTCGCCTGACTGTAACTTCCCTTAGGAATGCAGGAAGTGCTGTACTGGATCAGATTCATGGCCCATCTGGTCCAATATCCTGTCTCTGACAATGACTGGCACTAGACGCTATGGAGAAAGGTGTGGGGAAATCTGCCTGCCAGTGCAGTTAGAAATCAGGTTAAGCCACTAAGCAACAAGGTTAATATTCTAAAACCTCTTACATTTTACTCTATCTCGGGCTGTTCTACCCAGTGTATATGTCCAAAGCTTTTGACACGGTCTCCCACAGTATTCTTGTCAGCAAGTTAAAGTAGTATGGGCTGGATGGATGCACTACAAGGTGGGTAGAAAGTTGGCTAGATTGTCGGGCTCAATGGGTAGTGATCAATGGCTCCATGTCTAGTTGGCAGCCGATATCTAGCGGAGTGCCCCAAGGGTCGGTCCTGGGGCCGGTTTTGTTCAATATCTTCATTAATGATCTGGAGGATGGTGTGGATTGCACCCTCAGCAAGTTTGCGGATGACACTAAACTGGGAGGAGTGGTAGAGACGCTGGAGGGTAGGGATAGGATACAGAGGGACCTAGACAAATTGGAGGATTGGGCCAAAAGAAATCTGATGAGGTTCAAAAAGGACAAGTGCAGAGTCCTGCACTTAGGACAGAAGAATCCCATGCACTGCTACAGACTAGGGACCGAATGGCTCGGCAGCAGTTCTGCAGAAAAGGACCTAGGGGTTACAGTGGACGAGAAGCTGGATATGAGTCAACAGTGTGCCCTTGTTGCCAAGAACGCTAATGGCATTTTGGGCTGTATAAGTAGGGGCATTGCCAGCAGATCGAGGGATGTGATCATTCCCCTCTATTTGACATTGGTGAGGCCTCATCTGGAGTACTGTGTCCAGTTTTGGGCCCCACACTCCAATTTTTCCATATCCTTCTTGTAAAGAGTCCAGTGGAGGGCAACAAAAATGATTAGGGGACTGGAACACATGATTTATGAGGAGAAGCTGAGGGACCTGGGATTATTTAATCTGCAGAAGAGAAGAATGAGGGGGGATTTAATAGCTGCTTTCAACTACCTGAAAGGGGGTTCCAAAGAGGATGGATCTAGGCTGTTTTCAGTGGTAGCAGATGACAGAACGAGGAGTAATGGTCTCAAGTTGCAGTGGGGGAGATTTAAGTTGGATATTAGGAAAAACTTTTTCACTAGGAGGGTGGTGAAACACTGGAATGCGTTATCTAGGGAGGTGGTAGAATCTCCTTCCTTAAAGGTTTTCAAGGTCAGGCTTGACAAAGTCCTGTCTGGGATGATTTAGTTGTGGTTGGTCCTGCTTTGAGCAGGGGGTTGGACTAGATGACCTCCTGAGGTTCCTTCCCACCCTGATATTCTATGATTCAAACTTTTAATTCCTCCCCCCCAGCTTTTTTTTCCCCCTTCAGTTTATTTTCTGATGCTTTATTCAAGAAATACTCTCCACTGACCAACTCGTTTATAGCATGCTTCCTCCTCCACTTTCTGCTGTCGTATGCTATAGATTTCCACCATCTGTTCCAGTACTCTGCAAATCTACCAATCCTTCTTGAATGTGTCTGCATCTCCTTATGGAGAAATGCTGTAGAATTTAACATGGAAAAAGCTACCTATAGATAGAAATGACTGTAAAAACCAAAACCACGCACAGCATTTGGACATGCTTCCCAAAGCTCCGTGAAGTCCATAAAAAGACTTCCCTTTGGCTCGATCACCTTACCACTAGCCTTCCACTGCTGGGTTTTGAACTAGCCTATACAATTCCATAGGACAGTGTCCGTTTTTGTTAATGGCAATAGTGTGATCTAGTAAATAAACAACTGGACTGGGCCTCGCGCTCCGGGATCTAGTCCCAGTTTGGCCACTCACCTTGGGCAAGTCCCTTCACGTCTCTGTGCCTCAGTTTCTCCGTCTGTAAAGGGGAGATAATGACACTGACTTCCATTGTAAAGAGTTTTGAGATCTCCTGGTGAAAGTGCTAGATAAGAGGGTAGGTGGTATTGCACTGGAAGAGTTCTGCTACATCTGTTCTAGCCAAGGGCCCACCATGTATTCTGAAGCCAACCTGACCTACATTTTGTGACTCTGGTGTGACAGACAAGAAATATTTGCGGCAGCTTCTGGTCATTTTTTGAATAGTTCCTGTTAAATTAAGTATAAAAATGAATGACATGGTCCTGACAGCAGCTCTTCTCATTCAGGTTGATATTAAATACAATTAATTTGCCCCTAAATCCATTGGGCATTGAAAAGGTAGAGCTGTATTGGAGATGTTGCCAGGGAAAAGCCAGGAGGTCTTGGCTGTTGGCTGGAGGACAACTGGAGCCCTTAAAATCCAGGAAGATGTGGGAGACGGTTTGGAACTGGACTAAGCTCATAAGTTCATGATCAGCAGTAAAATACTTTTAAAAATTTGATGCTGGAACTTGCATCATTTCATTTGAGTCAATGACTCATTGACTTGAATGGAGCCATTCACATCCCTTGCAGAGCTGTTGTTTCAGGCTCTCTGCAGCCTCTGACAGCTGTCGCTGCATCAAACCACTCTGTTCAGTTTCAGAATGTTTCCTCTTCAATCATAAGGGCTAGAAAGTTATTTTGAAATGAACATTTAGGTTCTGGAGCGCAGCTCTGCAGGAAAGGGTGGATTTTATGGCAGGTTCCCGGGTTATGAAATGGTGGAGTCCACAGGCCTTGGTTATAAGCAGTAAAACCTACCCTCTTCCTCAGTTATTGCAAACACTGCGCCAGATCTCTCGTTGCTAAAAGCAGTAGAGCTCCACTGACTTCAATGGAGTGATACCAATTTACACTCCATCTCGAGATCTGGCCTGATCTATCTCCGTCCAGGTTTTTCATATCTCCGTCCAGCTTATCCTCATGATATCTGAGCTTCATCCAGCTCCCTCTACTGTCACCCTATGGCTCTCCTCCTATTTATCCCTTCCCCCCTCCTGCTCTTGAGAATACTCACAGGCCTCTAGTTGTCAAACATGAATGGCTTTTGTTATTGAGCTTATGGCCTCCCAGCCATGGCGCCTTCCTTGTATGCAGAACTGAAACATACAGTTTAGGCTGGGATCGAGCCGCTCAGACCTGTGGCAAGAGGAGGGAAGTGGCACGTGGCATGACGGATGCAGTCCTCAGGCAAGTTCTCCAGCTCAGTGATGTTCCTGCTTCTTGGATTTCTCAAGGTGGCAGACAGGAGAATGCAGCATCATATTGG